TTGAGGCAGAAACTCAGCCCCCCCCCCACCGTTGTTAATGGGCCATTAAGGCCAGTCTCTTCTACATAACAAAGATCTACCTCCTTCAGGCAGAGCCATTTAATTGCCCTTCATTGCATATCACCCAGCAAGATTCAACCAAACTCAGCACACAGACAACCTACAAAGCTAGCTACGACTTCCGACAGCAACCAATCAGGATACTCTTCCTGTGCCCCAGGAAGTTCAAAGTTCAGAGAGGACATAAAACCCAGGGACTCTCAGCATCTCTTCCCTTTTTTTCGCCCAAGATCTCCAAGGCATGTGATCCTGTTCATCTATAAACCTTCTTTCCAAGCAACTTCCATGAATTCAGTGTCTTTTTCCCCACTTGGAAATATCCAAAAGGATATTTCTTCCAACGGCAGCTTCAGATCCCTGGGCAGTTTCCACAAGAACCTGAACTGACAGCTGAAGTCTGTTTCAGCCAATAGAATGAAGGGAAACAATAATAAGGATATAATAAAGAATACTAGAATATGATATACTGGTATACTAGATTCTGTAACCATTAGGTTCCTGTAATACATATATGCCTTTGTATTTGTATCACATATATTATGCCTTTATGTTTGTATCTCCTGTAACAAACATATTCTGTTATTAGGCCTCTGTAATGTATCTGGTATTTGTCAAACATATGTTCCTGCCATTTGATCTGAACCCATATCCATCTTCTTCCTGTTTTTCTTGTGCCATCTAAGAGCATGGTACGTATCTCAGTTGGAACTGCAGACATCATCCGAGGGATAATTTACACTTCAGCTCTAGCTTACACCTTTGATCTATATAAACTCCTTCCTTGCAGAACCAGGGGCCAAATGAGCAATTGGGAGAACAAAGGAATGCTCAAGGAAAAGATAACGCTAATTGGGAGGCTTCTATTCCTTTGCAGGGCAACAAGGAATACTCAAACCTAAACTAGGAGGCCAGAATTGGGTACTAAGCTGACGTCTCTGAGGGTATAAAAGGACGCCATACCTTCCCCAAGGTGTGGCTGTCTCCTCGCATGCGTTGTATCTGTATGTTCTGGATATAGTCCCACCCAGTGTTTTGTTTTTGGCCATAAATAAAATCTGCTTTTTTTTGCAAGCCTCGTCTTGAGTTTCTCTTTTTGGTATTCTGGTGACTCAAGTATATTTTGGGACTTTACAGAATAATAGGTCTGTTTCAGAGGTGGGTTTCAGCAGGTTCTGACCAGTTCTGGAGAACCAGTAGTGGAAATTTTGAGTAGTTCGGAGAACAGGTAGTAAAAATTCTGACTGCCCCCCCCCCCAAACTATTCTCTGCCTCCCATATCCCAGCTGATCAGGAGGAAATGGGGATTTTGCAGTATCCTTCCCTTGGAGTGGGGTGGGCATGGAGATTTTACAGTATCCTTCCCCTGCCATGCCCACCAAGCCACACCCACGGAACCGGTAGTAAACAATTTTGAAACCTACCACTGGTCTGTTCGTTACATCAATGGCTGCTAGGCATACCTAAAGTTGCCTCCAGGCAGCAATTTTAAGGACGATGTTGGCACACACAACACTTTGGGGAATGAAGGACACTCTTTCCAGGAATAACCGAAAAACAGAATTGGAAGGGACCCTGGAGGTTGTAGGAAGTTAGCACCCATCTCTTTCCTAGAAGAATGAAATATTTTGGGAAATATTAAAAAGGCAGAATATTATGTTTCCCTGAATAAGAAATGGAGAAGCATGTTTTAAAGACAAAGCAGCTCCCACCTTCCTGCCCCCACACCCTTTGTTAATGGGCCAGAGGCAGAAACCCAATCCTTTGTCAAAGGACCATCATCTGCAACACAATGGGACCCATCTAGCAACAGAAACTCACCACATGGCACCTGGGAAGATTCCATCAGCCAGCAAGGCTGGCTAAGACCCCCACCCCCTGGGAGTCTGACAACCAATCAGGATACTCTTTCGGGGCCCGAGGAAGTTCAAAGCCAGAGAGAGCATAAAATCCGGAGATTCACTGTATCTCGCCTCTTTTCTGTTCAGGAACTGAAGCCATGTGATCCTGTCCACCATTAAACCAACTTTCCAAGCAGTCTCCATGTTTCCAGTGTCTTTTTCCCCACTTGGAGCTGAACCCAGATGGACATTTCTTCCTACAAGGTCTTCTACTCCAACCCTCTGCTCTAGCAGGAAACCCTCCCGGAACCATTCGAGAAAATGGCTATCCAATCTCTTCTTTTTTCTAAAGAAGTATTTACTTATTTAGAAAACATTTCCTAAATGTATGTATTCATAATTGTATAGCCCCCCCATCTCACATAAAGGGGACTCTGCGTGGCCTACGTCCCTTAATTAAGAAAAAAAAACTCAATAGATCCATAAAAGGCAATTTACTGGGCAGAAGAGCCACCTGGAAGTCACTTTAGAGGGTGTGATGACAACTTGGGTTTCACCTTCAGGGCAAACTTTCCAGAATGACTCAAGTGGTCACACCTATATTGACTCTGATTTCATTTCTCAGCAAAAGAAGGAAGCGCAACCCAGTTTTTCTCTCGGGTGCCAGAAGGTAAGATAAGGAGGTCATGGGTGGAAGCTTGTTAAAGAGAGATCCAACCTAGAAATGAGGAGAAATTTTCGGTCGGTGAGAAGAATTAAATCAATGGGATAATTCGCCTCTTGGGAGTTGCGGGTGAAGTGTTAATACCACTTTATTAAGCCTTGGTAAGGCCACGCGTGGAATGCTTGCATTGAGTTTTGGTTGCCCCAATGTAAAAAAAGATGTTGAGATACTAGAAAGAGTGCAAAGATATGAGAGAAAAAATTCCCTCCCAGTTGCTATGCCTATTAATGACCTTTGGCTTAGATAATTGAATAAGCCAATCAGAGCGCAGCTCTTAGCTTTGAATCTCCCGGGCTTTTATAACTGCCACTGGGACAATATATAAAGAGCTGCTAGCCAGCAGGCAACTCAGTTCGGGGTCAGAGGCAAAGCTGAAGTCACTAAAACCTCCTCCTGAGGAAGGAAGGCCCGGACTCCAGTCGCACAGAGCGATGGCAGAAAGAGCTGACCGGACCCTGCAAAAGGAAACTGACTACTAATGTTCTTTTAATCGACTTTGTTTTTATTTATGTAAATAAAAACAGTTCAGTTTAAACTCTTCCGAAACTTGTCTGTTTGGTGAATTGTAAAGAGATAAGGTTGCGGTCTACCAACCCTCCATAACAAAAGATGATTAGGGGACTGGAGGCTAAAACATATGAAGAACAGTTGCTGGAATTGGATATGTCTAGTTTGATGAAGAGAAGGACTAGGGGTGACATGATAGCAGAGTTCCAGTATCTCAGGGGCTGCCACAAAGAAGAGGGAGTCAAGCTATCCTCCAAAGCACCTGAGGGCAGGACAAGAAGCAATGGGTGGAAACGAATCAAGGAGAGAAGCAACCTAAAACTAAGGAGAAATTTCCTGAGTTAGAATGATTAATCAGTGGGACAAATTGCCTCCAGAACACGAAGGTGCTTTTTCAAGAGGCAACTGGACTTTTGTTTTTTTCTTTTCACTTCTCATCCAAAAAGCTTCTTCAGCTCTGACTGGATGGTGGGGAATGGAAGGATTTATATTCCTTGCGGACGGCTGGTCATTGGCATCCTTTTAGAGGGACGTTGAAGCACTTGGAGGTTTATCTGTGTCCTCAGGGTCACCTGAGTAGTGCAAATGGTTCCTGTAGTCTATTTTTTTCCCCTGGAAATCTGTTCATACTCCTACACCATTCGAGGGGTTTTCACTCCAAATTGCATAGATGAAAAGCGTATAGAGATTCTCAGTCATCTAGGTCATGGTTGTCTCAAAAGTGCTTTTTCAGAAGGAAACTAGACGTCCTTGTTTTTTCTTTGAAGATGTTTCGCTTCTCGTCCAAAAAGCTTCAGCTCTGACTGGATGGAGGGGAATGGAATTCTTCAGTCAGAGCTGAAGACATTTCTTGGATGAGGAGCAAAATGTCTTCAAATAAAAAACAAGGAAGTCCAGTTGCCTCCTGAAAATGCATCTTTGAGACAACCATGACCTGGATGACCGAGAATCTCTATTGCCTCCATAAGTTGTAAATGTTCCAACACCCAGTCTCTTAAAAACTTGACTGGGCAACCATTTGTCTAAAATGGTATAGGGCCATGATGGTGAACCTATGGCACGCGTAGCCATATCAGTGGGCACGTGAGCTCAGCTCCAGCGCACATGTGCGAAATGGCCAGTTGATTTTTGGGCCTTCTGGGCCTACCAGAAGTAGAGAAACAGTCTGTTTCCAGCCTCCGGAGGATCTCCGGGGGGGGGGGGACGCCATTTTCGCCCTCCCCAAACTCCTAGAAAGGCTCTGGAGCCTGGGGAGAGAGAAAAACAGGCCTATCAGGCCCACCAGGCCATCACACGCCAAGAGTAGGGGGAGTGGGGAGGGGGTTGTGCGCGCATGCGCGAGGCGCATAAATTATGGGTGTGGGTGCGCATGCGTGTGAAAAAACCCCAACCCTCACGCTCCCCCACTCCTGGCACACAATGGCAAAAAGGTTAGTCATCAGTGGTATAGGGTTTCCTGCATGAGCAAGGAGTTGGGACTAGAAGACCTCCAAGCCCTCTTCCAATTCTATTCTATTCTATTCTATTCTATTCTATTCTATTCTATTCTATTCTATTCTATTCTATTCTATTCTATTCTATTCTATTCTATTCTATTCTAAATTCTATTCTGTTCTGTTCTGTTCTATTCTAAATTCTATTCTACAGTACCATCAATGGCTCACAAAGCAACAGCCCCAGGGACCTATGAGAAGATATATAGTGATGAACCTTGGGAGGGAGCCAAGATTGGGTGTGTGGGGCCTTTTTCTTAAACACACAAATTTCCACAACCACCCTCTTGGGCAGCATGCTTCTTAATTGGGGAACACGTTCTGAAAGGGGACAGCTCTGAGTTAAGCATCCACATGACACTAATATACTGGAGCAGGTTGGCAGTGTGCACTTTTTATTTTCATAAAATAAACAACAAAACACAAAAACAATAGCAACAGTGGTGCATATATTGTGGAAGAGAAGGAAAAAAAATGTAAATAAAAAGAGCTGGAACAAAAATCAATAAATAAAATATGTCACACGTTATAATTCTACATATACTTGCAAAGGGAAAAGTGTGTCATTTCCTAATGACATTCTGTAGTGCAAAATTATTCAAGAGAAATGTATCTGGACACTTTTATAGAACTATTTTTTAAACCCACGGCGTTGAGTCCCATATTTCATTGCACTTATTCATACAAACTACAGACTGCCTAAATATACGCAGTCGGCTCAGAGGTGGCAAGACAGATTTTCCTTTCACTGAAAAGGGCCATAAATTTATTTTCTCGATATTGTTTAAATACCGAGACAGTCCTGAGCTTATCAGTCTTTGGGGCTCTAAAATACAGGTAGTCCTCTACTTACAATCATTTGTTTAGTGACCATTCTAAGTTACAACAGCACTGAATAAAAGAACTTACAACCGTTTTTCAGTTACAACCATTGAAGCATCCCCATGGTCATGTGATCAAAATTCAGATGCTGGCAACTGACTCATATTTATGACAGTTGCAGTGTCCCGGGGTCATTTGATCCCCTTTTGTGGCTTTCTGACAAGTAAAGTCAATGTGGAAGACAGATTCACTTAACAATCATGTTACTGACTTAACTGCAGTGAGTCATTTAATGATTCTGGCAAGAAAGATTGTTAAAATAAGGCAACATTCACTGAACTGCCTCGCTTAGCAATGAAAATTTTGGGCTCAGTTGTGGTCGTAAGTCGAGGAGTACCTGTACTAGAGTCGCTTGGTGTTATTCACATTTCGTAACTAATCATAGTATCATCCAAATAGGGTTGGAGAGTAGCAGGGAGGAACTGGGGCTGGGCCAATGGGGTGGGGTGGGGGCAGGGGTGAAATGCTCCCTGTTCGGACCAGATCGCCCGATCCGGTAGCGATGGAGGCGGGCAGTTCGGAGAACCGGTAGCAAAAATCCCTGCCCCCCCCCACTCCCCATTGCCCAGCTGAGCCGCGCAATCATCAGAGGCTTTTTTTTAAAATTATTTTTAAAAGCATTTTTTCTACAACCTCTGGACGAAAAAATGGTTTTAAAAGTAAAAAAAAAAAAAGCCTCTGATGATTGCGCGGCTCAACTGGGATCATCAGAGGCTTTTAAAAAAAAGAAAAGAAAGCCTCTGCCGATTAGGCAAGTCAGCTTGCCTAATCGGGATCGTCAGAGGCTTTAAAAGCATTTTTTTACAACCTCTTCAGCCGAAGAAGTTGTAGAAAAAATGGTTTTAAAAGTTAAAAAAAAAAATGGCCACGCCCACTCAGTCATATTATCCCCGCCAAGCCACGCCCACAGAACCGGTAGTAACAAATTTTACATTTCACCACTGGGTGGGAGAGAATGCAGAAGCAATCTATAATATATTTTTTTTTTCTTCCCCAATTTATATACCGCCCTTCTCCCTGAGGACTCAGGGCGGTGCACAGCCAGAATTAAAAACATGAAATACAAATATTAAAAACAATTAAAATATATATAAATTTGGCCCAAAAATTTAAAAAACCAAACCAATTAAAACATTTAAAAAATTTAAAAATTTCTTCCTAAGCCAGCCCGGTTTACTGGAAAAAGTGGGTTTTAAGGGCACGGCGGAAGGCACTGAGGTCTTGGATTCTCCTTATCTCTGGGGGCAACTGATTCCAGAGGGTAGGTGCCCCCACAGAGAAGGCTCTCCCCCTGGGGGTCACCAGCCTACATGATGGCATTTGGTGAAGCGAGGATGATCTAAAAGGTAAATTTAAAGAGAAAAGCCAGAAAAGAATTCAGTGTATTGCTAGGGTGCAGTGCAAGATAGATCACATTTCCATTAATATATATTAAGATTCTTAGGAACATTGTCAGTTATCAGTGAATTCTTTCAAAGGAAGGTGTCTGAATTTTGGGGCTGTGCCCATAACATTTTCCCAATATTTCGGAGGTGCCCCTCTTGTCTCCACACAATCAGAATCCCCAATGGAGAAGCGGCAAGAATGAGGCTCCAGAGGCACTTGTGGTTTACCCTGAAGTCGATGGCCAATATGACCCCCTTCGTCCTCTCAAAGAAGGGTGGGGGGGACCATGGCTCCTTTATGACTGGCGGACTAGAACTCCCAGAATTCCTGAGCCAACCAGGAAGTCATCTTACCATAAACATGACCGACCTAAATTGTCGTTAGCCTTGTTGGGTTTACCACACTGTGTTGAACTCGGCCTACGTTTTGCTAAACATCCAAGCAGTTAAAAAGCTTACAGTCATCCAAGTAACACTTGCAAACATTTCATCAATTCAATTGCAGTCCGGAATAGATCAGTTAGAGCCAGGAAGTCATTAATCTTGACGTGAAGGTGACTGACCCAGATGGGATCTTGCCACATTGTAAAATGCAGTCACGCGGCTGCAGGAAGCTGCGAGCAGGCATAAATGCCCTGGGGAGGTGGGGGAGGTAGGGGAGGTGGCCAGCCCTCAGAATTTTTGAAGCAGATTGTACGTACCCTGGGGAGGTCCACGCCGATTCAGGAATTCTGGGAGGGGAAGTCCACAAGTAATAAAGGGGCCATAGTCTCTCACCCCTGCTCCAGGGGTGAAATCCAGCAGGTTCTGGAGAACCGGTAGCGGAAAATTTGAGCAGCTCACCGGCAAATACCACCTCTGGCTGGCCCCAAGAGTGGGGTGGGAATGGAGATTTTGCAATATCCTTCCCCCAGAAGTGGGGAAGAAATGGGGATTTTGCACTAACCTTCCCCCAGGAGTGGGGAGAGAATGGGGATTTTGCAGTATCCTCCCCCAGGAGCGGGGTGGGAATGGAGATTTTGCAATACCCTTCCCCCAGGAGTGGGGAGAGAATGGGGATTTTGCAGTATCCTCCCCAGGAGTGGGGTGGGAATGGAGATTTTGCAATATCCTTCCCCCAGGAGTGGGGAGGGAATGGAGATTCTGCAATATCCTTCCCCCAGGAGTGGGGTGGGAATGGAGTTTTTGCAATATCCTTCCTGCTGGAATGGGCGGGAATGGAGATTTTGCAGTATCCTTCCCCTGCCATGCCCACCAAGACACGCCCACCAAGCCAGGCCAACAGAACCAGTAGTAAACAAATTTGGATTTCACCACTGCCCTGCTCTAAAGCATCATTTTTTTGTTTAACCTGGGCAAGAATCTGTCCTGGGGGATTCTGGGAGATGAAGTCCACACATCTTAAAGTTCCAAGACTAAAAAACACCATTCTAAATGCAAGAGTTGGAGGCAACCAGAATGGATTCATATCCCAGGCCAGAAGCTCCTCCTAACTTTTCTTCAGTTGTCACCACTTTGTCAAGGTCTCAAACCTTAAGACTCACTTCACAGATTTTGCTAAATTAAGCTTAAATTGTGTTTGCCAAGTGCCTTAACCAACTCGGCTATTCGTTTTAAACTTGCTGTATCAAGCAGGCCTTCATCTTAAACTATATATTTCTTCTGATGCAGCAGCTACGTGGACACAGGCTTATTTTGTTTACCACACTGTGGTGAACTCGGCCTAACTTTTGCTACTTGCTAAATATCCTAGCAGTTAAAAAGCCTACAAGCACCTGAATATATTTGCAAACATTTCATCAATTCAATTGGACTCCGAATGGCTCATACACAGCTAGGAAATCATCATCTTGACACGAACGAAGAGCCATGTGGGAACGTTTCCTGTGCTTCCATCTCACTTCACTTCAGTCTGCGGAGAAAACACAGGACAAGCAAAGGTCAATTCATCCCTGCAGGAGGGTCAAGCAAAGCACGTCAAAGTGACAAGAGTCACAATGACAAAAACCATCTACCCGTAGTTTTGTTCCTGGATGTGGACAACTCAGTAGGCCGAAGTCCAGGGGTGAAATGCTCCCGGTTCGGACCGGATCACCCGATCCGGTAGCGATGGAGGCGGGTAGTTCGGAGAACTGGTAGCAAAAATCCCTGCCCTTCCCTGCCCAGCTGAGCTGTACAATCATCAGAGGCTTTTTTTTACTTTTAAAAGCATTTTTTCTACAACCTCTTCAGCCGAAAAAATGCTTTTAAAAGTAAAAAAAAAAAAGCCTCCGATGATTGTGCGGCTCAGCTGGGATCGTCAAAGGCTTTTAACAGAAAAAAAGCCTCTGCTGATCAGGCATTAACTTCATTAACAGCCGCCAAGAATTCAAAGAATAATAACTGAAAGTTACTATGGTTGGCAGAATGCCCAAAAGCAATTTGCAGGAAGCTGATAAGATAAGCAAGACAACCCTAACCCTAATCCTAACCCTCTGGCACCACATCTTCTCCAGCCTCCTCATTGTCTGACTCGACTACCAGCTGCACAGGCTGCTGGCGCAGCACCACACCAGCCTCCTCGCTGTCTGAATCAGCTACTAGCTGCACAGGCCGCGTATGGGCCACAACAACTAGGGATTCGAACCGCCGAACTGCCGACCTTTTCTGATGGACAAGCTCAGTGTCTTAAGCCACTGAGCCACCTAACCAGGCACAAAATAAAATGTTTTGGCTTGACAAGGGGGAGGGAGGTAGAGGGAGTTTTCAACTTATGTCCATAATTGAGACTGCCCATTATCATGATGATGGTAAAAACAGGTCGCCCCGTGTTGACCCACCCAATTTTACAATTTTTTTTCGGCAGTCAAACTGTTCACTATGGGTTGGTTTTGCTGAAAACTGCAAGTCAATGCTGGTTTTCAACAAAAACATCTCGTAAAACACAGTCCTGTGACTGCAGGAAGCTGCAAACAGCCATAAATTTTACGGAGAGGTGGGCAGCCCTCGGCATTTTGGAAGCAGGTTGTAAGTACCCCTTAGGAGGTCCACTGTACCTTCAAACGGTTGCTCAGCAACTGGTCATAAGTGAACGTTCACCTATAGAAAAAAAGAAGATGAAGAGAAGGCTAAGAGGACTGAAATATCTTCCTGGAGAGCTTCAACCAAGCTAAGGAGATCGAGGAGCTTCTTTGATTCTACGGTCACCAGGAAACAAACTTGATTCTGTGCCCCCCAATTTATTTAATTGCAATTCACAAGAGACCAGAAAAGGAACAGGGGTCAACATCACGCTCATCAGATTATGCTGGGATCAACAATTAAAATAAAGATGATTATGCTGGGATAAACAGTAAAAATAAGAGGATTATGCTGGGATTAATAGTTATAATAAAGATGATTATGCTGAGATAAATAGCAAAAACAAAGATGATTATGTTGGGATTAACGGTTAAAATATTGTTTAAATATCCATAACAATTGGAATGATTTGAATATTTTTAAGAATACATTCATTTAAGCAAAAAGAAAAGAAAACTGAAATGATATAGGGTTATGATTTATTAAATAAGATGTACGTAACAGGTTTTTGGATAAAGGTATTGTTAAACAGACAGAATTTAGGGAAGTAATTGTGTATAGTATTATGTTGTGTTATTTGAAAATTAAGATTTAGGGTGAATTTATAGAATGGTAATTGTTTTGAGTAGGTTAATATGAGTTAATCTTTTTGGGTTTTTTTAATATATATTTTATAAGATGGTAATTAGTGGAGATGTGTGGAAAGTATTATGGCAAAAACAGAACAATTTTTTTTTTGTTAAAGATCAGTTAGAAATTGAATAACTTATGACCGGATCAATGCTTCGTTCCGAAAAGATGTATTGTATGTTTGTGTTTTAAAAAAAATAATTAAAAAAACTATTTAAAAAAAAAAACACGCTCATCAGTTACTTTTTTTTTTTAATAGATTTTTTAAAATTAAACATAAAAATTTCAATGTTTACATAGACAGCGTGTTGTCTGGATACAGTTAGTTTTCAGAAATAGTAATGGTAATAATAAACAAACAAATCTACCTGAGAGGCTCCAAGCAGCTCATAATACTTTTATGTCCCTCTGAGAAAATTTTGAACCTGGACTGTCCCCCTACCCTACCTGCCCATCATTCTCTCTGACATCTTGGCTCGTGTTGGCTCTCAAGTCACAGCCTGACTTGATTCTCCGATGCAAAACATAAAAATCAAACATTTGTAATAATTCTACTCACAAGAAGGGTCATTCCTTGGCTCATCATCTCCTTTCCTGAATCCTAGGTTGTATAAAGAGAGACAAGAAGAGAGCAAAAGCGTTGTTAGGAGCCAATCAATGACAGGAAGGCATAAGCTTTAATGAGCTCACTTTGAATGGAATGGCACAACTCGCTAAAGCCAACTCGCCACGGCCATCTTGCCACAGTCAATTTGCCGCAGCCAAATCACCGCAGCCAACTTGCCACAGGACAATTCAACAATCCAATTGAATTACTTCAAATAATTTAAAAATGATTTTAGTTTTTGTCATTCGCCTTTCATTTTGTCCTTCCCTTGGCATCCTTTCTTTAATGATTCTATTCCTCCATTTCTTCGATTTTACTGTAACTCTTATCCCACGGGAAGTTGGCCATGGCGAGTTGTTCCATGGGAAGTTGGCCATGGAGAGTTGGCCGCAGCAAATTGTCCAGGACCCCACTTCAAAAGATGCATTTCACAAAAGCTGGTGCCTCAAAAGAGGCTCCCAAGGCTTGGTGGAAAATATAGGAGTTTAATACTCTCTAATGCAGGGGTGTCAAACTCATGTCACGGCGGTGTCACATGACGTATTGGGACTTTCCACCCCTTTGCTAAACCAGGTGTGGGCATGGCCAGCATGTGACGCAGTCAGCCCATGGGCCGGGAGTTTGACAGCCCTGCTCCAAATGGAAGGCAGGTTTGGGACCAGTGGTGAATCTAAAATTTGTTACTACCGGTTCTGTGGGCATGGCTTGTGGGGGCGGGGGGTAATGTGACTGGGTGGGCGTGGCCAATTTTTTTCTTTTAAAACCATTTTTTCTACCACCTCTTCGGCGAAGAGGTTGTAAAAAAATGCTTTCAAAAGGCTCTGACGATCCCAGCTGAGTTGCCTGATCGGCAGAGGCTTTTTTTCTTTTAAAAGCCTCTGATGATCACGCAACTCGGCTTGGATCATCAAAGGCATTTAAAAGAAAAAAAGCCTCTGCTGATCAGGCAACTCAGCTGGGATCATCAGCTGACGATCCCTTTGACGATCCCAGCTGAGCCACAGGATCATCAGAGGCTTTTTTTTTTTTGCTTTTAAAAGCATTTTTTCGGCCGAAGAAGTAGAAAAAATGCTTTTAAAAGTAAAAAAAAAAAAAAGCCTCTGATGATTGTGTGGCTCAGCTGGGCATGGCGGGGGGGGAGGGGGCAGGGATTTTTGCTATCGGTTCTCCGAACCACACACCTCATCGCTACCGGATCAGGCAATCCGGTCCGAACCGGGAGCATTTCACTTCTGTTTGGGGCTAATTGAATCTCGGTGATCGGGTGTTATGCTGTTCCAAAGAGAGGAACAGAGATAGCCCACTTCTTGGATCCAACAGGAAGACATTGCTGATGCACCAGGAACTAAAGCATGTCGATCTCACTAGGTGCGTGGAAACAAGCTACCAAATATCATCCAAGCACTCACTGCTTAGGACCGTGGGGCGCATGTGCGCGCTGGCCAACTGATTTTCGGGCCTTCTGGGCCCACCAGAAGTAGGGAAACATGCTGTTTCCTGCCTCTGGAGGGCCTGGGGGGGTGGGGAAGGCCCGTTTTTCTTTCTTACCTGGCTCCAGATCCTCTCTATGCATCTGGGAAGGGCGAAAACAGCCTTTCCCACTCCCTTGGAGGTCCTACGGAGGCTGAAAGGGCCCATTTCCTGACTCCCGGTGGGACAGGAAGTGACGTTTTTTCCTGTCCCCAGCCTCCAGAGACTCCTAGAGAGGCTCCTAGAGACTCCTAGAGAGGTTCTGGAAGCTGGGGACAGCCAAAAAAAAAAAAAAAAATCTGGAACCAGGTAAGAAAGAAAAACGGGCCTACCAGGCCATCATGTGTAAGGAGCGGGGGTGGGTTGGGTTGCGTGTGCATGCGCGTGGGCATGTGCGTGCGCGACCCTCCCCCTCCCCCCCTCTCCTGGCACGTGATGGCAAAAAGGTTAGCCATCACTGGCTTAAGATGAAGAATCCCAGGATATTTGCTTTGATACAAATGCAATACCGGACAATCAATGATCAATAGATCATTCCCCTGGATGGAAGGGAAATGGGGAAAGCAGCAACTGGGAGAGTAGGAATGTTTTCATTGAAACCTACCTGAGGGGTTCCAAGCAGCCCATAATACTTTTATATCCCTCTGAGAGAATTTTGAACCTGGACTGTCCCCCTACCCTACCTGCCCATCATTCTCTCTGACATCTTGGCTCGTGTTGGCTCTCAAGTCACAGCCTGACTTGATTCTCAGATTCAAAACATAAAAATAAAACATTTGTAATATTTCTACTCACGAGTAGTTTCATTCCTTGGCTCCTCATCTCTTTTCTTGAATTCTAGGTTGTAAAAAGAGAGGCAAGAAGCAGAAGAAAACCTTGTTAGGGGAAAACCACAAGAGAAGCCAATCAATGACAGGAAGGCATCAGCTTCAATGAGCTCACTTTGAACAGAATGAGCCAACTCACTGCGGCCATTTTACCACAGTCAATTTGCTGCAGCCAAATCACCACAGCCAACTCGCTGCAGGATAACTCGCTCATGGCCAGCCAACCACAGGACAATTCAACAATTGAACTATTTAAAATAATTGTCATTCGTCTTTCATTTTGTCCCTCCCTTGGCATCCTTTCTTTAATGATTCTATTCCTTCATTTCTTTGATTTTACTGTAACTCTTGTCCCACGGGAAGTTGGCCATGGCGAGTTGGCCGCAGCGAGTTGTCCTGGACCCCACAGAAGAAGACTGGACTGTCCGAACCTCAGACTCAACTGAATTGAGGCTGGAGTTCTGTTGTGGCTCCGTCCTCCGAGCCTATCTTATCGGAGGAAGAAGGCTCCGAACATGAAGGAGAGGAGACGGCCAGGCCTCCCTCTCCAGGACCCTCCTCTCTGGCAATGCCTCAGGTGTCTCCTGAAGGAGAAGAGATTGGCCAGGAGCCAGGTGTTTCCAAGCCGTCGGATAGTGATGAAGAAACATTGTGGTTGGACCCACGCCAGCGTCGAAGAGACAAGCATGCGCAGCAGAAAAGAAGGCGTGCCAGAGATTAAGCTGAGTCACTGGACTACACCCCACAGGCTATAAAAGGGAGTGTGGGGGCCATTCGGACTCTGTGACGGACAAAGCTAATCTCTGTGGATTTAATTACAAACTGGACTATTCAAACTGTGTGTATTTTTGTCTGTGTTATCGGAGTAAAAGTTCTTGGCAGGCAGCCACGGAGTTGCTGCCAAGTTCCTTATCACTGACGTTGAGTGTTTGAAGAGTTTATTTAACCCTCGGCTGGCTGGTTGGGTATGTGCGTGGTACGGGGACAGAACAAGTTCCAGCAAGAGGCTGAGATCTCAGATGTTCCACAAAGAGGGCTGGGAAAAACAGGGAAGAAGAAGAGAGGCAGTTTGGTCCAGTGCTTAAGGCACCAGGCTAGAAAGCAGAAGACCATACGTGAGTTCAAGTCCCACCTTGGCTGTGAAAGTCAGCTAGGTGACCTTGGCCCAGTCACTTTCTCTCAGCCCAACCCCACCTCACAGGATTGTTGTGGTGGTGGTGGAAAAAAATAGGAGGAAGGTGTATTGGATATGTTTACTGTCTTGAGTTAGTTGTGAAAAGAATAAAGGGAGGTAATAAATAAATGAATAAAGAAACAAATATGCAAGCAGCAAGTAAGCAAACAAGCTAGCTAGCTCTCCAAAGGAAGACACATGGGAGGAATCGCCCATCTTCTTTCAATCACCCAGAAGAGGACACTTACTGAGAAATAGGAAGATCCCAGCAACTCCACATGCCGCAACGACACCCACAACACCGCCGATGATAAGCCACAGGTTAAAACTGGATTCTGGAACTGGATTGGGAGAAAGAGCAAATCACTCAATGGGAACCACAAAATATCTGCTTATTGGGCGAAAAGATCTCAAAAGAATGTGAAAAATAAGAGATCTGCCAAGTTAAGAAATGTCAGATGTCTTTACGTCGTAAGGGATAAACATTTTTTCCCACATATTCTACCATCTATTCACTCTGAATGGTAACTTTAGCTAAAGGGTTGGAAAAGGGCTTTCTAGCTTTGGAAAGATTGGGTTTGGAGGAAAGCAGCAAGCAGAATATCTTTGTTTTTAATATATTAATTTTCATTTATTAACAAGAATAAAATACGAAACAGAAAAACCAAAAAAACGTCCAACACCGACAATGAAAATGAAGAAATAAAATCTGGGTATGCAAAAAAAGAAAAAGGGAAAAAGAAAAAAAAACCCAAAAGTCAGATATATCTAACATTGAACATAAAAGCATCCAATCCAGTGGTGAAATGTAAAAATTGTTACTACCGGCTCGGTGGGCGTGGCTTGGTGGTGGTGGGGTAATATGACTGGGTGGGTGTGGCCAACTTTTTCTTTTTTCTTTTACTTTTAAAAGCATTTTTTCTACAACCTCTTCGGCTGAAGAGGTTGTTAAAAAAATGCTTTTAAAGCCTCTGACGATCCCAGCTGACTTGCCTGATCAGCAGAGGCTTTCTTTCTTTTTTTTAAAAGCCTCTGATGATCTCAGCTGAGCCGCGTGATCATCAGAGGCTTTTTTTTTTTTACTTTTAAAAGCATTTTTTGGGCCAAAGAGGTTGTAGAAAAAATGCTTTTAAAAGTTAAAAAAAAAAGCCTCTGATGATTGCGCAGCTTAGCTGGGCAATTGGGGAGGGGGGCGGGGGCAGGGATTTTTTGCTATCGGTTCTCTGAACCATCCGCCTCCATTTCTACCGGATCGGGCGATCCGATACAAACAGGGAGCATTTCACCCCTGATCCAACCCGGCCGAATGCTGAAAGATGAATTTTAAAGATGATTTTTTTTAAAAAAGATGATAGGTTCTTCTCCGCTCACATAACAGGTCTACAAATAGTTATAAGGTTTCCCATCCTTATTTTTGCAAAAATCCTACACAGGTAGTCCTCGACTTACACTTCATTTAGTGACCGTTCAAAGCTACAACGGCACTGAAAAAAGTGACTTATGGCCGTTTTTCAGTTACAACCATTACAGCATCCCCATGATCATGTGATCAAAATTCAGGTGCTTGGCAACTGACTTATACTTATGACCGTCACTGTGTCCTGTGATCACCTTCTGACAAGCAAGGTCAATGAGGAATCCAGAGTCACTTAACAACTGTATTACTAATTTAATAACTGCAGTGATTCACTGAGCAAGTATGGCAAGTAAGGTCATAAAATGGGGCAAACACTCACTTAAAAGAAACGTCTCACTCAGCCAGGGAAATTTTGGGCTCAATTGCAGTCGTAAATCGAGGACTACCTGTATACGCGCAGATGTTGTGGCCCATACGCGGCCTGTGCAGCTAGTAGCTGATTCAGACAGCGAGGAGGCTGGTGTGGTGCTGCGCCAGCAGCCTGTGCAGCTGGTACTCAAGTTGGACAATGAGGAGGCTGGAGAAGATGTGGTGCCAGAGGCGGGGATTCAGCCAAGGCCTTCAGAACCTCCACAAGCTCCCTTAAGTGAAGAGGACGAAGAAGAGGAGCCTCTTCTCGATGCACAGGCGCGCAGAGCTCCCAAAAAGCAGGAGTGGCTCCTCAGGTGGTCTCCTTGAGAGTAAGGCTTGGGGCTAATTGGCCACTCCTTTAGCCTATTTAAGGAGGAACACCGACTGAAGCAATTTGCAGGGAACAACTTCGTTCACATACCTTCGTGTCTTGTCTTGCTTATCTTATCAGCTTTCTGCAAATTGCTTCTGGGCATTCTGCCAACCATAGTAAGTTTTCAGTTATTATTCTTTGAATTCTTGGCAGCTGTTAATGCAATTCATTAAAAGCCGTTGTTGTAAAAAACTGGTTTATTCAGTAAACTAAGGTTTGAACGGACTTTGTGTGTGCTGCGTTCTTTGGGGTCCGTAGCTGGGGCAGAACAGCAGATATGCTCATCCAGGGACAAGGTGATCCTCAAATTTTTAACCCAAATATCCTAATAAATTTGAGTCAGCTTATCTCACTCATGGAACATCCTTCATGGAATGGTATGGTTAAATATTCAACGGCTGGCTGATACATAGATAGATTTATCTGAGCGTCCGTACAGTAATTCCATGGAAGTTCCGTGGACTTTTCAATGTACATCCACAAACCATAAAAGGAAACAATGGTAAAATAAGGTAATATCTGGGCGCAATTTCCTTCCCACAATCTTCCAGTCGGAAAAACAGCCCAGCCTTTCCCTCCCTGCAACTTCTCACCCTTCAGTTCCAAGTCCAGAGGCTCCGGCAGGCTGTCATGCTCCATGTGGCAACGATAGCGGTCCCTCTCTTTGGGATCGATCTGGATGCTGATCCAGTAGTAGTAGGTCCCATCTGCATTGGGGGCCAGAAACCCACGGAAGGTTTCCTCTTCCCAGACCTCCCCATCCCTCCTCCAGGAGGCATCGATCTCCTTGGGGTGGAAGCCATGGATTCGGCAGACGTGCGTCTCCATCCCATCCTCGGCCTCCGTCCTGCTGCTCATCACCACCACTGGACGCTCTGAAAAGAAAGAGGTTTAGGATCAAAACTGAGCCTCCCCAGAAATCATCATGACTTGTGCATCATGAGCTGCGGTGGAGCAGTGGTTAGAGTGCAGTACTGCAGGCCACTTCTGCTGACTGCCCATTGCCTGCAATTTGGCAGTTCAAATCTCACCAGGCTCAAGGTTGATTCAGCCTCCCATCCTTCCAAGGTGGGTAAAATGAGGACCCAGATTGTTGGGGGCAATAAGCTGACTCTATAAACCATTTAGAGAGGGCTGTAATGCATTGTGAAGCGGCATATAAGTCTAAGTGCTATTGCTATCACACGTGCAACCAGAACTAAGAGTCACCAAATAGACCCAAGTTGCTTTGAACAGTTTCTTTCAGCCAGAAAAACAAACATAAAAGTGCTTTATTAAATGCAGGTAGTCCTCGACTTACAACCGTTCATTTAGTGACCATTCAAAGCTACAACGGCACAGAACAAAGTAATTCATGACCATTTTTCACACTTACGACAGTTGCAGCATCCCCACGGTAACGTGTTTTACATTTGGATGCTTGACAACTGACTCAGATTTATGATGGTTGCAGTGTCCCAGAGTCCTTTGACAATGTTCTGGTGAGCAAAGGCAATCAGAATCAGAATCAGAATCGAGCTGGAAGGGACCTTGGAGGTCTTCTAGTCCAGCTCAAGCAGGAGATCCTATACCAGCGGTGTCAAACTCAATGTCAGGCTTCGGTGCTATCTTAAATAAACTTCATTCTCAAACGCAAAGTCTCTAATGAATCACTTTTATTTAAGAATAGAAAAAATCCGACATTCCTGATTCAAGTTGCAGCCAAACTGGCCTCTCCTTCCAACCCCCTCCTCTTCCGCTCTCCAACCCCAATGTCCCATTGGCCATCATGCAGATCCATCTCTACGTCCCGGCACGTTCTTTTCACAGGAATGTGCCCCCCACCCTCCATCACCCAGGTAACACTATCTGTTGCATGCAGAAAACTAGGTAAAAGTTCATCTCAGCAATAAATCAACGCTTCTGCTCTCTGCTTCATTTCGTTCATGTCAGCGCTGGAAGAGAGCCTAATTTGGAACGCTGACATCCAATTTCATTCAGGGCCACATCAGGATTGTGTTTGATCTTGGGGTCCAGGGTGGGTGTGGCCGGGGTAGGCGTGGCCAGCTCGACATCACCTGTGTTGGGGACGCCGGTGCAGGGGTGAAATCTACTTACCTTCCTTACCGGTTCAGAATTGCATGTTCGGCACGTGTGTGTCACACCTGATTTTTGACCTTCTGCGCATGTGCAGGAGGCTTTGTGCATGCGCAGATGGTTAAAAACCAGGAAGTAACGACGTCTGGGCAGGTGGGCGGAGCCTCGTGCCGCCACTGCTACTGGTTTGCTGAACTACCCGCCACCGCCACCAGTACGCACGAACCGGACAGAACCGGTAGGATTTCACCACTGCGCCGGTGGTGCCCGAACACTCTGCCAACGAAAACAGGCTCCAGAGCTCTGTTTTTGGCTGCGCCGACCTCCTGCAACCCTCTGCCAGTGAAAACGGACTTCAGGAGAGCTGCATGCTGCCCTCCCATGCTCCTTTTCACAGGCAGAGGCACCTTCACTGTTTCCAGGGTGGCCCTATGGGACAAATCTAAGAACCTTGCAGGCTGGATCTGGCCCTCGGGCCTTGAATTTGACACCCCTGTCCTGTACCATTTCAGACCAGTGACTGTCCAGTCTCTTCTTAAAAACCTCCAGTGATGAACTGCCCACAACGTCTGAAGGCCAGGCAAGCAATGAACAGGATAAAACCTTACAAGGCCTGAACACACCGAAGCTATATGTGGAGTAGCAGATGCAGCTCCCACACACTTTCTCCGTACCTTTCCTCAAGAACGACTTCGATCTGTAGTGGTCATTCTTCTGCAGCCACTCCTGGCAGGTGCTCTCCAGGTAGCCCGTGAAGCGCTGCTTGATGGCCGTTTCACTCTCCCATTTCCGCTTGATTCCCTGAGCTTCCTTGTCGGCTGTGGTCCAGATGGCAGTCTCCATGTCGTACTCGAGGAAATTCCGCCCGTCGTAGCCGTATTTCCAGCGACCGCTCCTTTTCCCGTCTTCCCGTATTTCACAGGAGATCATCATCTGGACAATGTGAAACCCTGAAAGAAGCATCACCAGAGTTAAGGAGGAAAAGCTCTCTTGGGAAATCGGGGAAAGCCGCTCCCTGCGGGGGGCTCCAGAATCTGTGACTGCTAAGACAAGAAAGCAAGGAAGGCAGGGATTACAGGAAGAGATTTTGGAGACCAGCTGAGGTCAAGACAGAACGTGGGATCTGTAAGACAAGATCTCAGCCTCACTATGAAGAACTCACTATAAACGAGGTGTCAAGCCTGAAATTGATTGGGGTGTAGGATTGTTTGTATCCTTGGGCATTCTGACATGGATTCAGCTTGACACAGTTTGGAGCTGAAGTGGGGATGGAGCCTTCAGTCAAAACAGCATTCCTAACTGATGAGTCGACCACATTCCAACAGCTGGCTGACCGGAGAAGGAGGAGATGTTGCCAAGTAACCATCTCCCACCTTGGTTGGACAATGTAACAGTTGTTTTGGAAACTTGAGAAACTGAAACTTATATTGGTGTGAAAAGTCCGGGAACTTTAGTACTGGCTTTTCACCAGTAGTGCCAAGATGACGTATCTAAATAAATTTGTTCTTTGAGGAGGAGCAATGCCTTGGAGTTCGATTTGTGTTGGGTGCATTATTTGGAACCTGGCACAAGGCTGGGAAATTTCTTGTGCAGTGTCCAAGATTCAAAACAAGCTTGGAGAACAAACCACTGCCAAAATCCAAGCTACACATATTTTCTATTATTTCAGTGTCTCCTTAATTAAGACAGGATTACTTGGAGGCCCAAATCTCCTGGCACTGGAGCAAGGTTGCCTTTCCTGAGATCACTTTCAAATAATTATTTCAAATAATAATAAATTATTTATTAGAATAAATAATAATAAAAAATAAGAAATAATTTCAAATAAATAACCAGCTCCTTGCCCAACCTATGGTCACTAACCACGGTCATCCCTATCTTCAAAAAGGGAGACTCCAACATAGTTGAAAATTACAGACCAATCTCTTTATGTTGCGTCACCTGCAAAGTCATGGAATCTATCATTAACCAATCCATTACCCTCCACCTAGAGACAAACAACCTACTCTCCAATAAACAATTTGGTTTCATGAAAAAATTATCCTGTAATCTGCAACTACTACACTGCAAAAACATATAACCTACACATCTCGATCAGGGCAAAGCAATAGACGCAATCTATGTAGACTTCTGTAAAGCCTTTGATTCAGTGGTACACGACAAACTACTTCTAAAACTAAAATCTTATGGCATTTCTGGACTCCTGCATAAATGAATAGCTGCTTTCCTGTCTAACAGGCAACAAAATATGAAGCACTCTATCAAATCCTGTACCTGTTAACAGCGGTGTTCCCCAAGGCAGCGTTTTAGCACCAGCACTCTTTATACTTTACATAAATGACTTTTGTGATCATATTAAAAGTAACTCTGTTCTCTTTGCTGATGATGTAAAGCTATTCAAAACCACCGACAATGCTGCTACCCTTCAAAAAGACCTTGTTCTGTCCCCGTCTCCACACACACACACACAGCCAGCCGAGGGTTAAAGGAAGCACTTGGCACACACACAGTTTGTTATCAGAAACTTGGCAGCAATACGAGCACTGACTGCCAAGTGCTTTTACTTAATATCCCTTCACCAGATAAACAGCAATACACACAGTTTGCAAATAGTCCAGTTCAAAACAAGAAACCTTCGGCAGATTTAGGCGTTGTTCAAAGTGACTAGCCAGAGTTAGTTTTTGTCCGTCACAGAGTCTTAAATAGCCACCACACTCTCTTATATAGTCTCTGGGGTGTGGTCCAGTGACTCAGTTATAATCCCTGGCATGCCTCCTCAACTGCTGCAACCGTTTATCACGCCTTCGTTGGCGTGGATCCAGGAACGACAGATCGCCTCCCTTGCTATCATCGGAGACACCTGGCTCCTGGCTAATCTCCTCTTCCTCGGCCGGCACCTGAGGCATTGCCAGAGAGGAGGGGCCTGGAGAGGGAGGCCTGGCCGACTCCTCTCCTTCATGTTCAGAGCCTTCTTCCTCCGATAAGATAGGCTCGGAGGACGGAGTCACAACAGACCTTGACTATGTGTCAGATTGGTCAAACAAGTAGCAACTTCAAATCTCATCTAAGAAATGCTCTGTCTTACACATTGGCAACAAAAAAAAATCAGAACATCCATCCAGAAAATTAGGATAGCATGCCCTTCCCTCTCACTGCTCACTCACCTCCACTTTGGTTATAGCGTTTCTGGAGCATCTGCACATTCTCCTGAAAGTCCTCTTGGTCTTTTTGCAAAATCCGGATGTACGTGTTGTAGAATTTGGGATCGTCCTTCTCCAGTGTATTTATCCAGTGTACCCGAGGATGCATCTTCTTGGTGTGGCTTTCGTAGCGAGTGATGAGCTGATCGTCCACATAACCCTCGGCGGAGAAGAGTGGCAGTCCCGGACAAACCTCAGTCGCAGAAGAGTAGCTCACACGGATGATGCGGGGGGAGGAGCCTAGGGAAAAACAAGAGCAGGGTGGAGTTAGGGGGGTGCTTGGAAACGGGTTTCAGACTGAGACTCCGGAGGAGTTGCATCATGAGGTGCAATAAGGGGCTGTCAAGAGCTGCCATGATACCCTTGAGCTTCGCATTCTGTGGCTGTCAGCCTGCTGTGAACTCTGGAGGGAGGGAAGCGGGAAGAAGTGGGCCTCTCAAGAGACACTTGGGAGTCTTCAAGATTGTTATCCTGAGAGAAGAATGCAAGACTGTTGCAAAAACAGTTTACTCCAGGGGTGAAATGTAAAATTCTTTACTACCGGTTCTGTGGGCGTGGCTTGGTGGTGGTGAGGTAATGTGAGTGGGTGGGCGTGGCCAACTTTTTTTAAAAAAAAAACTTTTCAAAGCATTTTTTCTAATGCTTTGAAAACCCTCTGCCGATCAGGCAACTCAGCTGGGATCGCCAGAGACTTTTCAAAGCATTTTTTTTTTACCACCGCTTCGGCCAAGAGGTTGCAGAAAAAAATGCTTTGAAAAGCCTCTGACGATCCCAGCTGAGCCGCATGATCATCAGAGGCTTTTTTTTTTTTTACTTTTAAAAGCATTTTTTCGTCGGAAGAGGTTGTAGAAAAAATGCTTTTAAAAGTAAAAAAAAAAAAAAAAGCCTCTGATGATCCTGTGGCTCAGCTGGGCATGATCGGGGGTGGGGGCGCAGGGATTTTTGCTACAGGTTCTCCACACCACCCGTCGCCATCGCTACCGGATCGGGCGATCCCGTCCAAACCGGGAGCATTTCAACCCTGGTTTACTCAAATATAATTGGGACAAGCAGGGGCCAGGGATGGAGAACAACTGGTTGGGGAAAGTTAACCAGGAAATTTTGGCATGCGATCTTCAGTTCTGGCTTTACTATATTACAGGGGTGTCAAACACAAGGCCTGTGCGCCGGATCTGGCCCGCAGGGTGCTTAAATCTGGCCTGCAGGACAGCCATGGAAATGGCAAAGGACCTGCCCGCGGTGCCTTTGTTGGCGAAAATGGAGCCCGCGATGGTTGTGGGGTGGGGTGGGGTACGCGTGCATAGGGCTAGCAAAACAAACTAAAAGCAAAACAAAAGAAGAAATGCGTTCCCCTTTTGCATTTGAGCATCCAAGAAGGGACAGGAAAGGAGAAAGGGAAAGAGGAAAGACAAAGAAAAAGGAAAGGTGGGAAGGAACGAAGGAACGAAGGAAGGAAAAAGAAGGAAAGCAGGGAAGGAAGAAAGAAAAATGAAGAGGGAAGGAAAAAGAAGAAGAGAAGAGAAGAGAAGAGAAGAGAAGAGAAGAGAAGAGAAGAGAAGAGAAGAGAAGGAAGGAAGGAAGGAAGGAAGGAAGGAAAAAGAAGAAAACGAAGGAAGGAAGGAAAAAGAAGAAAAGGAAGGAAGGAAGGAAGGAAGGAAGGAGGGAGGGAGGGAAGGGAAGGGAAGGAAGGAAGGAAGGAAGGAAGGAAGGAAGGAAGGAAGGAAGGAAGGAAGGAAGGAAGGAAGGAGGAAGGAAGGAAAGTCCTGCCTTAGCACTTGTCCACCAGTAGACGGCAAGGCTCCTCTGGAACAGGGGTCTCCAACCTTGGCAACTTTAAGACTTGTGGACTTCAACTCCCAGAATTGAAGGGCGTTGAAGGGAATTCTGGGAGTTAAAGTCCACAAGTCTTAAAGTTGCCAAGGTTGGAGACCTCTGCTCTGGAGGACAAGGATTTGGTGCTCTCCCTGGCCTCGCCTTCCTCTGCTGGAAACAATGGATCCCCCCCAGCCCTGCCCGGGCCACCACAGGTGCCCCGGACATGAGTGATGTCAAGCTGGCCACGCCTACCACCCCCATGCCCACCAGCTTTCCTGATGCGGCCCTCAATGAAATCGGGTTTTGACACCACTGCTATATTGTAATCCCCTCTGTTTCAGAGGCTGGGCATTCGGTGTATAAGACGCACCCAAATTTTCATCCTCTTTTAGGAGGGAAAAAGGTGCCTCTTATACTTTGAAAAATATGGTAAATATAGAAAGCTTTATCATTAGATATGTCTGTTAAATGGTATAGGCTACAAAATGAATTGGAACTGTGAAAATATTGATAAATGGGCCAAACAAATTAATAGATAAAGCTAATGTACAGTAAAAGTAATGCAAGAAAGCAAAAAAATAAAAAATAAAAAATGTAAACTTGGCATATTTAAAATAGTTAAAGGCAGACACTGCTTATAGAAACTCGTTTAATGGGAAAAAATAAATATTAACAAAGGATTGGGTGGGACTGGTCTACCTCACAGATACTTTGACAAAAACTAAAAGTGTAGCTATTTTGCTTCAAAAAGGATTTGCAATTGATGTACAACAGGTGGGTTTTAAGTGCTATTTCCACCGGTTTGCTTCGTGCGCACAATCGCAATAACTTAAAAAAAGTGAAACTAAGTATTAGATGTCCACGGCCTGTTTAGCTCTGCTTATTTAGGAAAGGCTGCAAAGAGACATTCCATTCCTCCCACCCACTGACAAACTGCCCATAATAGCAATCTCCCTTCTTGTCCACTCTTTTCTTTTTAAAAAAATATATATTTTAAAACATTTCAAGAATTCAAGAAATGACTACACAAGAGTTAAAAAATAAAAGACATCGTGATTTGAAAGGAAAACACCAGGAAATCAAACAGGGCATTTTCAACTGTCATAAATTACACAAATTAATTATTGAGGGGCCCTTGATGCTCTCTGAGCTGGCTTGTTTTCTTGCAGACGTTTCGTTACCCAAACAAGGTAACATCATCAGTGCTAGGACATGAATATCAGTGCTAGGATTAGTACTGATGATGTTACCAAGTCCTGGTAATGAAACGTCTGCAAGAAAACAAGCCAGCTCAGAGAGTGCCAAGGACGTCTCATTTCAACCCTGAGCTACAAATATTCTCCTTTATTGGTACAATTAATTATTTCATGAATTCAGTGATCCCATCCAAGCAAAGAGTGGGCCCTTCATGACTGGAGGTTTTAAAGAAGAGACTGGACGGTCACTTGTCTGAGATGGTATAGGCCAGGCTCTCCTGCCAGAGCAGGGGGACGGACTAGAAGTCCTGTCCTGTTCTACTCTATATTCTACTCTACTCTATTCTCTACAGTCCTCCTCTCCTCTCTTACTCCTCTCCTCTCCTGTCCTCTATTCCTCTCTTCTCCTACTCTATTACTACTCTCCTACTCCATTCCTCTACTCTCTACTTTCTTACTATCTACTCTCCTACTCTTCTCTATTACTACTCTCCTCTCCTACTCCTCCATTCCTCTACTCTCTACTTTCCTACTCTCTACTCTCCTACTTTCCTCTCCGCTATTACTTCTCTCCTCTATTCCTCTCTCCTACTCTCCTCTCCTCTATTACTCCTCTCCTTCTCCTCTATTCCTCTACTCTACTCTCTACTTTCCTATTCTCTCCTTCCTCCTCTCCTCTCTTCCTCTTCTCCTCTATTACTCCTCTCCTACTCCTCTTCTCTATTCCTTTACTCTACTCTCTACTTTCCTACTCTCCTCTCCTCTCCTACTCCTCTCCTCTATTCCTCTCCTACTCTACTCTACTCTATTACTCCTCTTCTACTCCTCTACTCTATTCCTCTACTCTACTCTCTACTTTCATACTCTCTACTCTACTCTACTCTATTCCTCCTCTCCTCTCCTACTCCTCTATTCCTCTACTCTACTTTCTACTTTCTTACTCTCTCCTCTCCTACTCTCCTCTACTATTCCTCTCATCTCCTTCTCCTCTCCTCTTCCTCTCCTCTACACACTCTACTCCTCTACTCTACTCTCGCCTTCAGCGATTTCCGGGGAGCGGAGGGGGGGTGGGAAAATCTTCTAGAACGGTGGTCCGATCGCGGGTTGCGCCTCCCATCCTGAAGACCTTGTGACGCACCCACCCACCCTCTCCCGACCCCAGTTTCAGCTAATTGCGCCCCCGCTCCTCCAACTACGCCACGGGACGGAACTCACCGCGGCTGCCCTCCAGAAGGAAGGAAGCGGCGGCCCCGAGAAGCCAGAGGAGCCCCCAACGCGGCCGCATCGCTTCGGCGGGTCCCGCTGGGCTGCTGCTTGCAACGAAACGCTCCCGACTGCGCAGGCGCTCCCGGTTCCGAACCAGGATTCCCCTGACGAGCTTGGAACGCGGGAAAATCCCTCTGAGTTGTGAATAATTAACGAGTCGACGCTTGGAACGCTGCCATGCGTGACGCAATGACGAGGGGGCGGGGCTATGGGGGAGGAGTGGTGAACACCGCGAGAGGTGTGGCCTGCTGGAGTCTAGAAGGGAAAAACTGCCTTGCGCAGATCAGAATTGGGGGGGGGGGTAAAAGAAGTAACACGATCCGCGTTCAGACGAGACGGGCGGGCATTGGCCCTGGCACAGCATACTAAGCGGCCTTAGTGTCAAACTCCCTTTTGTGGTTTAGCGTTGGGCTAAATTGAGACTCCTTGTATTTTGGGGACGGAAAAGAGGGGGATAAATTTAGTAACCAAGGGAAGATATTCAATAAAGGGGGAATATTTGCAGCTCAGGATTGCAGGCGCCTTCCTTTCAAGTTGAGCTTTTGTTTGAAGGCTGTCAGCGGCTACAATTTGAAAATAAGATAACCTTTATTGTCAGTTTTTTTTCTGTGAGCACACTGGCAGACGTTAAAAAAAATGAAAGTCTGATGCCCGCTTTCAAAATAAATATGTACCCATATACATATGTACATGTACATACGTGCACGCACACATATACACACGTGTGTGCATATATTTATTTATTTATTTATTGCAATTTATATGCCGCTTTTCTCCCTGGGGACTCAAGGCGGCTTACAAAATGACAAATTCCGATACAGATCACAATGAAATAAAATTAAAATCAGCGACCCTATTAAAAACAATTTAAAATTATGACAGTGTACCCCCAAACGGATCAGTTGAGTTGACGAAAGAGCCACGACTTCAGCTCGCGACGGAAGGAAAGAAGGTGGGGGCTGTCCTGAGCTCGGTGGGCAATCCCAATATATGTGTGTATATACATATATACATACTAGTAGCTGGATACCTGTGCTTCACTATGAAACTTTGTGATCGGGCTTGATCCGTTGACACTGAAAAGCTTGAAAATTTATGTAGAATGTGTAACTCCTTAGCATCAGAGTGTGTTAATAATAATATAAGAAATACTAATGATCTGATGGTCATTTCGAAAAATCCTTTCTTAGCAAGCACCTAGAAGCCAAGAGGAACATACGTGCCAATTTTCAAGTTTGTAGACTTTACAGTTCTGGAGATTTTGTGATGAGTGAGTGGTATTTTTTTTTTTTTTAATTTTGATTTATATGCCGCCCTTCTCCGGAGACTCAGGGCGGCTTACAATGCGTTAAGCAATAGCCTTCATACTTTTGTATATTTATACAAAGTCAGCTTATTGCCCCCACAAACTGGGTCCTCAATTTACCCACCTTAGAAAGGATGGAAGGCTGAGTCGACTTTGAGCCTGGTGAGAATTGAACTCGCAGTAATTGCAGGCAGCTGGATGTTAAATGCTGTCTTAGGAGGCATTAGCCTCCTACGCCACTCAGGCTTTTATATATACAGATAGATATACATATAGTGTGAGGAAGAGGCCTTCACCCTGTAGTGGATAGACTGGCTAAAATGATGGTTTTATATATATTTATATCATCATCCTCATTCTTAGCCATTGTCTACCCACTGCAGAATGAAGGCCTCTTCCTCATGTTTCCAACCAATATGGTCCTGAGCTTTCTTTTGCCAATTGGACCTGCAACATTTGAATACACACAGAGAGAGACACCTATAGTATATAAACAAATATTTATCGCAGTCCATTTTGAATACAAAATACAGAAAAAAGAGTCTTTTGTGAATGAACGAGGTCGATACTATGTGGTACAAAGCTATTCCAGAATCCAGTTGTTCTGCTTCGGATACCACAAAGCCCCTTCCCAGGAGGTAACTGGGAAGCCGTTGCTGGTCTTTTAAGCCTTATGGGAGGGGCCGATCATCTCTTGGCCCTACTCCCGAGTGATCCTTTTTGCTTTAGCTGCTCCTGCCTTCTGGCAGCTCTTCTCATACATGCACTAGGAACAGGCTCCTCCTGTTCCTCTGCCTCTCTACTCTTAGCCTCTAGAGCAGTGGGTCTCAACCTTCCTAATGCTGCGACCCTTTAATACAGTTCCTCATGTTGTGGTGACCCCCAACCATAAAATTATTCCTAAAACCAGTGAAAATATGTGTTTTCCGATGGTCTTAGGCGACCCCTGTGAAAGGGTCATTCGACCCCCAAAGGGGTCCCGACCCACAGGTTGAGAATCACTGTGTCTAGAGGCTCCGAAGTCCACACATCACTCCCCGATGGCCCTGGCCCCATCTCTGCCTCCGACGCTGAGCCCTCATCCAGGCCTTCCCCAGCCTCCAGGACTGGCCCATGTTCTTCCTCAGCCTCATTGCTGTCCGACTCCGCTGCCAGCTCCACAAGTTGCTGGCGGACCACAACACACTGTGCTCCTGAACATTTAAACCCACATCTCTCAAAAATTGTTTTCCGTGCAAAACCAATCCTATCTCCTGTCTCACTTTCTTACCCCTTGTCGTTAAGTGTTTGCATACTGCTGAAGGAAAGGTGGAGTGAGGGGTGTTTCTGTGTGTACGTTGCACCTTTCGTTTGTGCTTTTTGACTCTCACTTGGCCTAGTCCCTGCAATTTTCTTGGGGAGATTTCTGAAGTGGTTCTTTTATGGTGTGAGGGCAGGTTTATTCCCTGACCAAATTACAGGTCATCCTCGTCTTAACCACAATTCATTTAGTGACCATTCAGAGTTACAATGGCACTGAAAGAAGTGACTTATGACCATTTTTCAGTTACCACCTTCGCAGCATCCCCAAGGTCAGGTGGTCAAAATTCAGACGCTTGGCAACCAGTTCGTGCTTATGACCATTGCTATGCCCTAGGTTATGGCAATCAACTTTTCTGACCTTCCGACCAGCGAAACCCATGAGGAAGCCAGAGTCGCTCAATAACCGGCTTACTAACCTATCGATTGCAGTGATTCACTGAACAACCAGGGCAAGAAAGGTGGTAAAACGGGTCAAAACTCACTTAACAAATGTCTCGCTTCACAACAGAAATGTTGGACTCAGTTAAGGTCATAAGTCGAGGACAACCTGTACTGTAACACTCAGACCATTTATAAGACTTCTCGCCCATGTGGGTTCTCCGACGTAAAGTCAAATCTCCCTCATTCCACAGTCAAATCATGCATGGTTTTCTCCAAGTGTGGTGTCTCGTAACTCGATTTTACCCACAAACTCATGGTACAATCCGAGCAGTTTATTTATTTATTTATTTTATTTTATTTCTATACTGCCCTTCTCCTGCGGGACTCAGGGCGGTGTACAGCCAAGATAAAACATAGCATATAATATTTAAAAAACATTTAAAAAAACAATTAAATAATTTTGGCCCAAGTTTAAAACAACCAATTAAAACCGAATTCAAATTAAAAACTGAGAGGATGGGATCAAGCCAGCCCAGCTGGATGGAATAAGTGTGTTTTCAGGGCCCGACGAAAAATCCAGAGGTCTGGTATCGTGCGTATCTCAGGGGGCAGGTCATTCCAGAGGGCAGGTGCTGCCACAGAGAAGGCTCTCCCCCTGGGAGTCGCCAGCCGGCACTGTCTGGCCGACGGCACCCTAAGGAGGCCCTCTCTGTGTGAGCGAACCAGTCGGTGGGAGGCTATCGGCGGCAGAAGGCAGTCTCGCAAATACCCCGGCCCTAAGCCATGGAGCGCTTTAAAGGTGGTCACCAACACCTTGAAGCGCACCCAGAAGACCACAGGAAGCCAGTGCAGCTCGCGCAGGAGAGGTGTTATATGTGACCGCCCCGTTGCTCCCATAATCCCATGCGCGACCGCATTCTGGACCAACTGCAGCCTCCGGATACACCCGAAGGGGAGCCCCATGTAGAGAGTTCAGGGGTGGGTTCTACTTACCTTTACTACTGGTTCGCAACGGGATCGTGCCTAGCTTCTGCACATGTGCAGATCGCCGATGATGACATTGGGTGGTGGGTGGGGCCTCCTGCGGGTTTTACTACCGGTTCTTGCGAACCGGTCCGAACCGGGGGCAACCCACCCAGTGGTGGGTTCCTCCCGGTTTGGCCGAGCCAGTAACAGTGACGATATGATGTCACCAAATCGGTTCTCTTTGTTTGGGAGCTGGGAGCTGACCCCCCCCTGCGTTATTCTTACCTTTTATTTGGCCCCACCCCCAATCTATTGCTGCCTCCCGAGTCCCAGCTGTGGCTAGAAGGGAAAAAACCGTTAAAACTCTTGCCGCGGGGCTTCAAAGGGCCGCCCTACAGCTGATCAGTGTTAAAAGGTAGTGTGGTGGTAGACCGGTGCCTCCAAAAACAAATGAGTAGACCGGTGCCTTTAAAAACGAATGGGTAGACCGGTGCCTCTAAAAACAAATGAGTAGACCGGTGCCTCTAAAAACGAATGGGTAGACAGGTGCCTCTAAAAACGAATGGGTAGACCGGTGCCTCCAAAAACAAATGGGTAGACCGGTACAGCTCTGCAAGCAGTTAAAAGCCTGGTAGACCAGTACCTCTGCTAAATCCTACAGAATTGTCACATGACCATCAAGTCACACCCACAAAATAAGCCACACCCACAGAACCGGTAGAAAAAATTTTTAGAACCCACCCCTGAAGCAGTTGTATGGTTTCTCCCTGGTACGAAGCTTCTGATGGGGACACAAGGCTTGTGATGGAACTGAGACTCCATCCATACTTTAGGCCATTGTCCCAAAGGTGTTTTTTTTTTCCAGAGGCAACTGGATTTTCTGCTTTTTTTTTTCCTTTGAAGACATTTCGCTTCTCATCCAAAAAACTTCAGCTCAGAGCTGAAGAAGCTTCTCGAGATGAGAAGCCAAATGTCTTCAAAGGAAAAAAAGCAGAAAATCCAGTTGCCTCAGGAAAAAAAAGCACCTTTGGGACAACCATGACCTGGATCACTGAGAACTTCCGTAGACTTTAAGCCACTGTTTCTCAACCGCTTCAAGAACTGTGGACTTCCAGTGTCCAGAATGCCCCAGCCAGCATGTTGGCTGGAAAATTCTGGGAGTTGAAGTCCACACTTCTTAAATTGTTAAACTGCTCTAGGCAAATAGTGTTTCTTTCCCATTTCGATTTTTTGGTGCCTAGTAAGATGTACACTCCAGTGGTGGGTTTCAAAATTTTTTACTACAGGTTCTGTGGGTGTGGCATGGCTTGGTGGGCGTGGCAGGGGAAGGATACTGTACAATATCCATTCCCACCCCATTCCAGGGGAAGGATACTGTAAAATCTCCATTCCCACCTCACTCCAGGGGAAGGTTACTGCAAAATCCCCATTTCTTCCCAATCAGCTGGGACTTGGGAGGCAGAGAATAGATGGAGGCGGGCCAGTCAGAATTTTTACTACCAGTTCTCCGAACTACTCAAAATTTCCGCTACCGGATCTCCAGAACTGGTCAGAACCTGCCGAAACCCATCTCTGGTACACTCCAGCTGAAGCTCTTCCAACATGCTGTACATTTATGTGGTTTCTCCCTCTGTGAATTATTTGATGTCTATTGAAGCCCTTTCCACCCTCCAAACTCATGAAGGACTTCTCCCCATTGTGGGCCCACCAATGTCCTTTAAAGTTTAATTCACTGCTGAAATTGCGGGCACATGCAGTGCTGTGGAGGAGCAGTGGTTAAACTGCAATATTGCAGGTTAATTCTACCCACGGCCTGAAGTTCAATCCTGACTGGCTCAAGGTTGACTCGGCCTTCCATCCTTCCGAGGTCGGTAAAATGAGGACCCAGATTGTTGGGGGGCAATGTGTTGACCTTGCAAATCATTCAGAGAGGGCTGTAAAGCCCTATGGGGTGATATACTGGCAGTCCTTGACTTACAACCACTCATTTAGTGACCGTTCAAAGTTACAATGGCTGAAAAAGGTGACCGATGACTGTTTTTCCATACTTATGACCATTGCGGCATCCCTATTGGTCACATGATCAAAACTCAAAAGACGCTTAGCAACTGGCTCATATTTATGAGGGCCGCAGTGGTTCCACAGTGTAACGTGATTCTCTTTTGCAACCTTCTGATGAGCAAAACAATGGGGAAGAGATTCGCTTAACAACAGTGTGGCTGACTTAACCACCGCAGTGATTCACTTAATAATTGTGGCAAGAAAGGTTGTAAAATGGAGCAAAGTTCACTTACCAAATGTTTCACTTAGCGACATAAATTGTGGGCTCAGTTTGGTCATTGAGGATTACCCGTATAAGCATAAGTGATATTGTTCTCACTCTCTCCCCTTCCTTTTTTTTTTTACCCTGAAGTGAGGTTGTATGTAAACACTATCTAGAGTTTAGTGTCCCGATTTTGGGTTTGGTCTCTTTCTTCATCCTCATGTGGTGTTTATTTCTAACCCTCCTGCATCTCCCGAAACTTGGCTTCCCCGCTGTTGTCTTAAAACTACTGTTAGGATATGGTGTAAGTCTAACAAGTTGTCCAGGCAATATGTGTTCTATAACTTTAAATGTATTCTGTAACAATATATGTGTTCTGTAACTTTAAATGTAATGCTGAGTAATTGTACTGCTGAGTCATTGTAATGACTGACTGCTGACTAACTGCTGACTGCAATTATCATAAGTGTACTGTTGAGTCATTGCACTGCTGACTTCACTTATCTTAAGTGGATAATTACTAGTATAAACTGTATATAAGGAAGCCGAGCTATAGTCATTGTTGGACCTGCTCTCAACATTGCTTGACTTGCTGCTTGACTGGAACTGTTGATTGGAACTGTTACTGTCGTGTGTGAAGAAGTGGATGCATCTGCTACCATCGTGATTTGTTACCAGCGTTGAATTGCTGTTTGTCTGGTAAGAAGATATCTGTAACTTCGGACTGATTTGAATGGCTAAAGACTTGGATTGATAAAAAGACTATGCAATTGTTTTTCACTACAAAGTAAAAGCTTTGTTAAACCAGTTTGTATGTATTGTATTCATTGCTCTCAGTACCGTTTCTCTGTGCACTTACTCTGCTGGTTGGTAACACAACAACATCCTTAACAACTACACACCAAACTGGCTCTAACATACAGTGAAATGTCCCAAAGGTGCTTTTTCAGGAGGTAAACTAGACTATCTGGTTTTTCTTTGAAGACGTTTTGGGTCTCATCCAAGATGCTTCTTCACCTCTGGCTGAATGGTGGGGAATGGAAGGATTGATACTCCTTGCAGACAGCTGGTCATTTGCGTTCTTTGAGAGTGTTGTTGAGGCCACCTGGAGGTTTATTTATGTCCTCAGGATCACCTGAGTGGTGCAAATGGGTATGGAGCTTTCTTGGAACTGTTGAAAGGACTGTGTTGTAGACTGGAGATAGATGAAGTTGTATCCCTCCCCCCGTGTTGAGAGAGGGCTATTCAATTTTGACATAGATGGCCTCTTTGACCAGGGGTGAAATGCTACCGGTTCGCACCGGTTCAGGTGAACCGATAGTAAAAAAAAAAGCTACCGGTTTGTCTGAACTGGTATTTCTGATGATCAGCTATGCAGCGCGATTTATATTCACTAGAAAGCAGGAAATCCTGCTTTCTAGTAAATCTAAATCTAAATCACGTGGCACAGCTGTTGCCCCCCTCGCTGTTCTATTTACCTTCAAAAGGTTCCTTTTTCCACAGAAAGCACACATTTGGTGCGCACTGCGCATGTGCATGCGTTTGATATGCACTGTGCATGCATGCATGTTTGGCATGCGCTGGCAACGAACTAGTGGCAACCCGCAAAAGATTTCACCACTGTCTTTGACCCCTTTCAAACCAGCAGTCCTCTGTCCAAAATGTGGATTTTGCTCTCTTCGAGAGTGACTTTTAATACAGATGGACTGCTGAAGCTTGTCCTGATGAGTTTGTTCTCCTGTGTTGTGCCATGCATTTATGAAGTGGTTGTTTTGTTTCACCAACGTATAGATCTGCACATGGCTCACTGCAATGTAGTACATATACCACATTGCTCCGTGTGTGTCTGGATTAGATTCAGATTGAGAATGCAAATGACCAGCTGTCTGCAAGGAGTATAAATCCTTCCATCCCCCACCATCCAGTCAGAGCTGAAGAAGCTTCTTGGATGAATAGTGAAACATCTTTAAAGAAAAACCAGAAAGTCTAGTTACCTATTGAAAAAGCACCTTTGGGAAAACCAGGATCTTGGATGACCGAGAATCTCCATAGACATACGTTGAAATGAATTCACTAGCTGGGATTCTAGTTTATTTATTTATTCATTCTTTCAGTTAGTGTTTAAATGCTGCCCAACTCACCGCGAGTTGTTTCTGGCTGGCTTACAGTATTGAAAAAAAAAAAAAAAAACAGATATAAAAGCATTTAAGATTAATCATTAAATAAATCCAATCTCTCTCTCAATTCAGAAAACTAGCTAAAAAGAACTCCGGGAGATTCGTGTTGGGGCGGGAAAAAAAAAAAGAATCCATATCCACATTTCATGTAGCTGCCCCCCCCCCAAAAAAAGAGGCTATTTATAGAGATTTGTCAGAGTCTGTACCTAAAGCTTGAGGTACTTTCCACGATGAAGATAACCATCAGTTTCTGCCCTGCACAAAATTTTGCTGTTTCGGAAGCTTTTGGATTTTGAACGCGGCGGCCTTTGCCGCTTCGGCACGTTTAAATTTTGTGGCTCCTTCGATGAGAATGGAGAGTGATGCTATGACTAAAACTCTTCCCGCACGCCATGCATTGATAGGGTTTCTCCCCCGTGTGGATGCGTTTGTGAGAGGTCAGGGTTGCCAGTTGACTGAAGCTGATGCCACATTCGTTGCATTTAAAGGGCTTCTCCTTGGCGTGGATTCTTTCGTGTTCGTGCAGGAGAGACCTATGAGCGAAGCTTTTCCCACAGATGGGACACGTATTCATTCTGGGTTTCTGAGGTAATTTCCCTTGAGTGGGCGTTTCAGGAGAATCCATGCTCTTCGAAACAAAGGCGGTGTTTCTCATGCTCGGTTTTGCTTGGATTGGCGTTTTGCAAAAGTTCCCGCTTGCGGACGCCAAAGGTGCGTTCCCCGGATATATTTGGGGGGGCCCCATTACACCTTGCATAGGATTAATTTCCGAAAGAGAGAATTCGTCCCATCTCATGACCTTGACCCGCTCCTCCGTTCCCTCGCTCTGCAGTCCCTCCTGGGTGGATCTGGCTCTTTTTAAGGACACTCTTTGTGATTCATCCTCATCCTCATTCCACCATGCCTCCCTCCCTAGAATAAGAGAAAACCAAGAGAAAACATGGGGGGGAAAGGATCAAATGGAAAAAAAAAGAGAGCTAGGTAAGGTACCACATTCAGGCGAGAAAAACCAAATGCAGATATACCATTAATTAATTAATTAATTAATTAATTAATTAATTAATTAATATTATTTATTTATTGTTTAAATTTATATACCGCCCTACTCCTGAAGGACTCAGGGCGGTGAACAGCCAAAAGATAAAACACACATAATACAAAATTTAAAAACAATATAAAAGCCCATTAAATAATTTGGCCCAAACACCATAAGTGGAACCTCACTCGATACCATGTTTCCCCCAAAATAAGACCGGGTCTTATATTGATTTTTCCTCCAAAAGACGCATTAGGGCTTATTTTCCAGTTAGGTCTTATTTTGGAGTACTAAATGCATCTGTCTCACTGACAATCTTAACTGGGCCTTATTTTTGGGGTAGGGCTTATATTACGAGCATCCTGAAAAATTATGCTAGGGCTTATTTTCTGGTTGGGGATTTATTTTCGGGAAAACAGGGTAGCAGGAACTATGAGAGGGATCTTGGAGGCCTAGTGGACAATCACCTAAATATGAGTCAGCAGTGTACTACAGCTGCCAAAAAAGTCAACACAGTTCTAGGCTGCATAAACAGAGGGATAGAATCAAGATCACGTGAAGTGTTAATACCACTTTATAATGCCTTGGTAAGGTCACACTTGGAATATTGCATCCACAGTTTTGGTCACCATGATGTAAAAAAAGATGTTGAGACTCTAAAATGAGTGCAGAGAAGAGCAACAAAGATGATTAGGGGTCGGGAGATGAAAAAATAATATAAAGAACGGTTACTGGAATTGGATATGTCTAATTTAATGAAGAGAAGGACTAGAGGTGCCATGATAGCAGTGTTCCAATATCTAAAGGGCTGCCACAAAGAAGAGGGAGTCAAGCTATTCTACAATTCATTTAGTGACCATTCAAAGTTACAATGGCCCTGAAAAAAAAGGATCTTATGACCGTTTTTCACACTTACAACCTTTGTAGCACGACCAGGAGTTCAATCCTGACCGGCTCAAGGTTGACTCAGCCTTCCGTCCTTCCAAGGTTGGTAAAAATGAGGACCCAGATTGTTGGAGGCAATAGGCGGACTCTGTAAAACTGCTTAGAGAGAGCTCTAAAGCACTATGAAGCGGTATATAAATCTAAGTGCTATCTCTATTCTCACACTGCCTATAAAATCCAACACATTTGATCCTGAACACATTTTTGTGTTGCAGAAGCGATTGTGCTGCTAAAGACGATGACTTCAAGCCTGTTGTCTGTAGAGATTCTCAGTCATCCAGGTCATGGTTGTCCCAAAGGTACTTTTTCAAGAGAAAGTTCCTTTGGGACAACCACGACCTGTATGACAGAATCTCTACGCACTTTTTAGCTATACAATTTGGGATGAACTCCCTTGGAATGGTGTGGAAGTAGGAATGGAATTCCAGAGGAGGAAAAATTGCAGATTACAGGAACCATTTGCACCACTCAGGTGACCCTGAGGACACAGATAGATTTCCAAGTGCTTCAAGGACCGTCCAAAAGGAGGCAAATGACCAGCTGTCTGCAAGGAATATAAATCCTTCCATTCCTCACCATCCACTCAGAGCTGAAGAAGCTTCTTGGATGAGAAGCGAAACGTCTTCAAAAGAGAAAAACAAGAAAGTCCAGCTGCCTCCTGAAGAAGGACCTTTGGGTTCAAGCCTGTTGGGATACAACATGGAGGACTCACCCAAAGAGGTCATGTTTTGGTAATTCTCCACCATGACCTCCAGTTGCAGAGCCACCTGGCTTGCATTCAACAAAGGACACTCTTCGTCTGTGAAATACACAGCCACGTCCTCAAAAGACACCGGAACCTGGAGAAGAAAAAAAGGAAAAGAGGGAGGAGACGAAAAGAAAATGGAGAGAAGGAGAAAAGGGGCAGTGCCCACCCAGGAAAATGTGCAGTGGCTGACCCATTTTGGTCCCCCCCAACCCAGGGGTGAAATGCTCCCGGTTCGGACAGGATAACCCGATCCGGTAGCGATGGAGGCAGGTGGTTCGGAGAACCGGTAGCAAAAATCCTTCCCCCACCCAATTGCCCGGCTGAGCCACGCAATTCATCAGCAGCTTTTTTTTTTACTTTTAAAAGCATTTGTTCTACAACCTCTTCGGCCGAAGAGGTTATAGAAAAAATGCTTTTAAAAGTAAAAACAAAGCCTCTGCCGATCAGGCAAGTCAGTTAGGATCGTCAGAGGCTTAAAAAAAAAAAGAAAAAGCTCTGCCGATCAGGCAAGTCAGCTGGGATCGTCAGAGGCTTTAAAAGCATTTTTTTAACAACCTCTTCAGCCAAAGAGGTTGTAGAAAAATGGTTTTAAAAGTAAAAAAAAAAAAAAAAAAAAAAAAAAAAAAAAGGTGGCCACGCCCACTCAGTCATATTACCCACCACCACCAAGCCACGCCCACAGAACCGGTAGTAACAAAATTTACATTTCACCACTGCCCCGACCCCTTTATTCTTACCATAGCTGGCTGGGCTGAAGCAGACCACTCTCTAGAAACAACAGCAGACATATCCGGAGGCCTCATCAAAGATTTCTCATTGCCTGTACATGGACAAAAATGTAGTGGAAAGTGGTTGTTTCATTTGTACAAGAAAAAGGCCAATCGGAATAAGACCAGGGGTGAAATCCAGCAGGTTTCTGGAGAAACGGTAGCGGAAATTTTGAGTAGTTCGGAGAACCAGTAGCAGAAATTTTGAGTAGTTTGGAGAATCAGCAAATGCCATCTCTGGCTGGCCCGAGTGGGGTGGGAATGGAGATTTTGCAATATCCTTCCCCTGCCACGCCCACACCACGTCCACAGAACCGGTAGTAAAAAAATTTGAGATTTCACCACTTGACATGACCCTATCTGGAGACACTACAAAGCCCTTGTTTTTCTTGGATTCACACAACTCAGGAGATGTTCCAATAAACCCTGGTTTGTTTATTTCAATATGGGCTTCTTTTCCCAATATCCTCGGTAGACAGCTGACCCTCCAATCCATTGGAGTCCGCAAAGTTGCAGCGACAGAAATGAACATTTTAAAAAATTCTTCTGCGAGCCTTTTATTGAACAGGTCTTCCTCCACTTACAACAGTTTGCTTAGTGACTGTTCAAAGTTACAATGGCGCCAAAAAAAGTGACCGATGACAATTTTTCACACTTATGGCTGTTGCAGCATCCTCCATAGTCACAGGATTTACATTCATATGCTTGGCGACTGACTCATATTTATGACGGGGGCAGTCTCCCGGGATCATGCGACCTTCTGACAAGCAAAGTCAATGGGGAATCCAGACTCACTTAACAACCGTGTTACTAATTTATCAACTGCAGTGATTCACTTAACCAATGTGGCAAGAAATGTTGTAAAATGGGGGCAAAACTCACTTAACAAATGCCTCAGTTAGTAACATAAATTTTAGGCTCAATTGTGATGGTTAAGTCAAGGACTACCTGTATTGTGATATTTACCATATTTTTTGGACTATAAGTTGCACTTTTTTGTCTCCCAAAAAGGGGCGAAAATGTCTGTGCGTCTTATAGACCGAATATTGCTGAAGCCCCACCCACCCGCCAGCCATTTTTTGGCCTCTTCATGCCCTGTTTTCAAGCCTTTTTCAGATGTTTTTTGGGGCCTATTTTCAAGGCTTTTTTCGGCCTGTTTTTGAGGCTTTTTTCGGCCCATTTTTGGGGCCTTTTACAGCCCATTTTTGGGGCTTTTTCGGCCTGTTTTTGGGGCTTTTTTCAGCTTGTTTTTGAGGCTTTTTTCAGCCCATTTTTTCGGAAAAAAGGGCTGAAAAAAACCTCAAAAGCAGGCTGAAAAAAGCTCCAGAAACAGGCCGAAAAAAGATTGGAAAAGGGCCGAAAAAAGGTAGGCCAAAAACTTTTTTTTATTGTTTTCCTCTTCTAAATTTAGGTGCGTTTTATAGTCAGGTGTGAGAAAAACGTTTGTCACTTTTCAGTGCCGTTGGAACTTCAAATGGTCACTAAATGAATGGTTGTAAGTCGAGGATCTCCTGTATTTATATTTTATTTCCATGGTTTTTTTTTTTTGTTTTTTTTTTGTTTTTTTTAATTTGATTTATATGCCGCCCTTCTCCGGAGACTCAGGGCGGCTTACAGTGCGTTAAGCAATAGCCTTCATACTTTTGTATATTTATACAAAGTCAGCTTATTGCCCCCACAAACTGGGTCCTCATTTAACCTACCTTCGAAAGGATGGAAGGCTGAGTCAACCTTGAGCCTTGGAGAGATTCGAACCAGCAGTAAATTGCAGGCAGCTGTGTTAATAACAGGGTGCTTTAAACCACTGTAGTACCAAGGCTCGTTTTATGGTATGTAAAGCTGGTCAGTGATGGAAATAAAGCACCTCACCCCTCCACACATTTTAAGCAATTGGAAAATATGGTATATCTGGACTGAAAAGAGATTTTCAACTTTTACTGCCAGACTCGGCTCATAAGTTGTATTTCCCTTACAGCTTCCAGATACAGCGAGTCCTCGATTTACAACCACAATCGAGCCCAACATTTATGTTGCTAAGTGAGAAATCTGTTAAGTGAATTTTGCCCCATTTTATGACTTTTCTCGCCACGCTTGTTGAGTGAATCGCTGCGGTTGTTAAGTTAGTAACCCAGTTATTAAGTGAGTCTGGATTCCCCATTGACTTTGCCTGCCAGAAGGTCACAAAAGAGGATCACGTGACTCCGAAGATCCAGCAACTGTCATAAATGTGAGTCAGCTGTCAAGCATCCAAAAGGAAATCACGTGACGAATGGTCGTTAAGTCACTATTTTCAGTGCTGCTGTAACTTCGAACGGCCACTAAACAAACTGTTAAGTCAAGGACTACCTGTGCCTTATTTCTACTGTACAAAATAAGTGTGCATTTTATTTTTTTTACAATTAACTATATAACTTGCTAAGGAGAATTGTCTTTTATCATAAAGCTGTGACTAGCAGGGACTTCTGCACAGAGGGAGGTATTGAACATCTCAAGATGGTTTCCACAATCAAAGCTCACTGCAGTTAGTATATATTCAGTGCAGCCTGGAGGAAATCCCTTCAGAAAATGGCGGGAAGGATGCCTACAGACAAAAAGATGCAGTCGTACTTATACGTTTCCGGAAAAGAGAAGAAAATGATGCAGCCATACGTATGTGTAGGTAATAGATGATGTAAGCATGAATAATGAGCAAACTTCAAGTTACTTCCCCGCCTTTCAAGGAGAGAAGCAACCTAGAACTAAGGAGAATTTTCCTGACAATTAACCAGTGGAACCACTTGCCACCAGAAGTTGTGGGCGCTCCATCACTGGAGGCTTTCCAAAAGAGACTGGACACCCATTTGTCGGAAAAGTATAGGAACTCCTGCTCGAGCAGAGGGTTGGACTGGAAGACTTACAACATCCTTTCCAACTATTATTTTATGTTCTTTCTACTGTTACTATCCTCAGGGAAGAATTATTGCCTTCACAGAAAGAAAGGCATCAGTTGTATTGCCATAGCAATTGTGAGGAGAACTGAAGACTTCAAGGTTGCCTCAATGAGCGCACATTCCTTCTATGTTTCTATCTTGCTAACACGCTCCCACCTTTCCAAAGGCTGATTTGCCTCAATTTTGCACACATAAAAAGGGGGATTAAGGGTTCAATTGTGCAATCTTGGCCACCATCTTGATTTTTTTTTGACTCCTTCCCCTTTGCAGACATCCTTGATCATTATTTAAGGACAGTATGTCTCAACCGTGGCAACTTTAAAGAGGTGTGGATTTTAACTCCCAGAATTCTTCAGGCTGCCATATCTTATTTTAAGTCCACATAATATTAAAGTCGCCAAGGTGAAGAAAAACAGACTTACGAGTTTAAAAGGCTCTGCGTCTAATAAAGGAGAATATTTGTTGTTCAGGGTTGAAATGAGGAGTCCTTGGTGCTCTCTGAGGTTGGTTGTTTTCTTGCAGACATTTTATTACCCTAATTAGGTAACATCATCAGTGCTAGTCCTAGCACCGATATCCTAGTCGTAGCACTGATGAAGTTACCTAGTTAGTTAGTTAGAGAAGAGCAACAAAGATGATTAGGGGACTGGAGGCCAAAACACATGAAGAACGGTTGGTGGAATTGGGTATGTCTAGTGTAATGAAAAGAAGGACTAGGGGAGACATGATAGCAGTCTTCCAGTATTTTTGACGGGTTGCCAACAAACAGAAGAGGGAGTCAAGCTACTCTCCAAAGCACCTGAAGGGAGGACAAGAAGCAATGAGTAGAAACTAATGAAGGAGAGAAGCAATCCAGAACTAAGGAGAAATTTCCTGACCGTTAGAACAATTAACCAGTGGAACAACTTGCCTCCAGAAGTTGTGAATGCTGGAAGTTTTTAAGAAGGGATTGGGCAACCATTTGTCTGAAGTGGTGTAGGGTTTCCTGCCTGAGCAGGGGGTTGGACTAGAAGACCTCCAAGGTCCCTTCCAACTCTGTTATTCTAATTTTTTAAACGTCTGCGAGAAAACAACCAAGCTCAGAGAGCACCAAGGACCCCCTCAAGGTTCTGCATCTTTTAAACTTCTTTTTTAACCAAACATCTGAAATTCACCAGGGCTATCCCGGTTTGATAATCCAGAAGTTCTCTCTCTGCCCAGAGAGATGGAAGACCACGACCATCTATCTATCTATCTCTTGATTCTTACCCTGCAATACGGCATCTTCATTCTCTAAGATCTGCTTGAAGAACTGTCTCTGTCCTGCGTCTGAGGGAGCCTCCTTCTTAATTTTGGGGAAATCGTTAGAAGCATCCACAAACAGGCCCTGCAAAGCAGTACCAGAGATCCATACAAGGTGGGAACAGGAGAGCAAACAAGACCTCTCTTTTAAGGATCTCACCCCAACCCACCCCCGCAACAACTGTGCAGCTGTGTATTCTCATTCCCTTGGAGCTAGCAAGGGGGGGGGCAGGGTATAGCCTGTATTCCTCCCCAGCGTAGCTCTTTGGCAACAGCATCTGGAGGCTCTGAATCAGATCCTGGTGGAAGGCAGTGACCCAGAGACAAAGCCACTGCTGCCTCTGCAGCACAAACATCTCAGAATCTCCAAATGAACGCTGACCAAGATCCTCCATGAGCCACAAGCCTTAGACCAATGATGGCGAACCTATGGCATGTGTGCTGGAAGTGGCATGCAGAGACATCTCTCTGGACACGCCAGCCATTGCCCATGGCTTTGACGGGTTCCGGCACGCTGCTCTTCGCATGCCAGAAACTGGAAGACCAGGTGACCGGGGCACATGTGCACGCCGGAAACCGGAAGCTCAGCTCTCCGGCACGTGCACGCGCGCCGGGGAACTGCTCTTCTGGTTTGTGGTGCTCCTGCGTGTGCGCACCAGGGAGCTGCTCTTCTGGTTTCCAGCACTCCCCCATGTGTGCATACGCACTCCTGTTTCGGCACTTGGTGCCAAAAAGGTTCGCCAACACTGCCTTAGACGTAAAGTGAAGCCTTCCCGAGCTGGAATGTGACTCAAATCACTTCACGGACCTTGAAAATAGCACCAAAAGGCTGCCCTCACCTGGATTTTCGGCTTCTTGTCCTCTGCTTGGCTCAAGAGGAAGCCTTCGGCCAGGGCCACCGCTTGAGAACAGGTCTCCGCTCCACATTCTCTGATCCAGCTCTTCATGTCAGGAGGCAGGATAGTCAAGAACTGCTCTAAGATCACCAGGTCCAGGATCTCAGCTTTCGTATGCTCTCCTGGCTTCAGCCACTGGCAACACAGATCGTGAAGCTGGCTGTAAACCCCTCGGGGACCGGCACACTTCCGGTAGCGGAACTGCCTGAAGTGTTGGCGCTGGATGTAGGAGTTACCTTTCTCTTCCCTCAGGATTTTGTTTAGGTTTTTTTCCCACTGTTCCCCAGGGCTGCGAGCCTCAGGGATCTCGAGGCCCGCCACTGAATCCACAGCTTCCTCCTTCGATCCTTGGGTCATCACGGTCTCCAGTAAGATTTGAAACATCTTCTGTTTCAATGGCTTTCTTCCGACAATGTCTGAATGGCTATAATTGAACTGAAAGTAAGTTGGTCTCTTTTTTTGGTGGGGTGGAAGGAGCGCGGAGTGATGGCACCACTCAGGAAGTCAAGAACTAAATTACAAGGCAGTCATAAACCGATGTTAGTATCTCTCTGTAAACAATGGAGAAGGAGACAGATCAGAGGCAGACGATACAACAAGTAATAAACAAGGAGTTCCCTCGTACAAAAGCACAGGGCACATACTTTGCTTGGCTGATAGTCACATTTGAATGAACGAATAAATGATAATTACAGGTCCCAGATTCCCCAAATAAAAACAATAAAATAACCTGCAGGAAAATGAGAGACAAACAATGACACAATCTTCACAATAGACGCAGTAATTGCTCCCCAACTGTCTATGGCAGTAGTAGCCAACCTTTTTTTGGCCATGCCCCACCTAAGCATCTCTAAAATCCTGATGCCGCCCTCGTGACATATAATTCTTACTTTACTCAAAAAGTGAACTCTATTCACGCGGAGGAAGCCTAAAAGGCTATTAACTTGGTTTAAACAAGGTTCAAATTGCCCCCATTAAAAATCAAATTGCCCCCCTGTGGGACGACGTTGGGAACCACTGGTCTATGGAGATTCTCAGTCATCCAGGTCACAGGCCCTATCTAACAAAATGAAATTCAATGTAGAGAAAAGTCAAGTCTCACACTTAGGTAAGAAAAACCAGAAGTACATATATAGACTGGGTGAAACCAGGCTTAATAGCAGTAAGTGTGAGAGAGATCTTGGAGTCTTAGTGGACAACCAGTTAAATATGAGCTAACAGTGAGGTGGCAGCCAAAAAAGCCAATGCAATCCTAAATTGCATTAACAGAGGGATACAATCAAGATCAAGGGAGGTCCTAATACCACTCTGTAAAGCCTTAGTAAGACCACACCTAGAATACTGCATCCAGTTTTGGTCACCACACTATAAAAAAGATGTTGAGACACTAGAAAGAGTGCAGAGAAGAGCAACCAGGATGATTAGGGGACTGGAGGCTAAAATGTATGATGAACGGTTGCAGAAACTGGGCATGGCTAGTCTAGTGAAGAGAAGGACCAGGGGAGACATGTTTTTTTTTTAAATTTGATTTATATGCCGCCCTCCTCCGGAAACTCAGGGCGGCTTACAATGCGTTAAGCAATAGCCTTCATACTTTTATATATTTATACAAAGTCATCTTATTGCCCCCATAATCTGGGTCCTCATTTTACCTACCTTAGAAAGGTTAGAAGGCTGAGTCAACCTTGAGCCTGGTGATATTTGAACTTGCAGTAATTGCAGGCAGCAGATGTAAGTGGATGTTAATTAGTCTGCTGAGCCACCAGAGCTCCCCTCAAATATTGGAACACATGTTAGCAGTGTTCCAATATTTGAGGGGCTGCCACAGAAAGGAGGGGGTCAAGCTATTTTCCAAAGCACCTGAAAAAATAAAGGGAACACAAGCAGAAGACATCCGAGATCTGAATGAATGAAATAGCCTTATTAAATACTTTGCTCTTTACATACAGTAGTTTTGTGTTCCCTTTAGTTGTTTGAGCAGTGTATAAACTACTGTATGTAAAGAACAAAGTATTTAATAAGGCTATTTCATTCATTCAGATCTTGGATGTCTTCTGTTTGTGTTCCCTTTATTTTTTTGATATATATATATATATCTCAATCAAACAAACATATATTGGACAGACCAACAGAAGAATGAGTGTGCGCATCGAGGAACATAAAAACTCAGTACAAAAGAAAGAACACACATCATCATTAGTACAACACATAAATGCCACAGGACATAATATTAATTTTAATAACACAAAAACAGTTGCAAAAATAGAACATCTCAATGGCAGAATAATCAGAGGGGCCATTGAAATAGAGAAAAGACCATATTGTATGAATAAACGTGATGACACTTCCCGTCTGCCTACTATTTGGAAACCTGCTCTCATAGACAGATGAATATAAGACACAAAATATAAACCATAGATCAAAGATTCATCATAATGCCTGTGTTGCCACCAGTTCCAGCATAATTTATCCATTAACCCACAACCAAGCAACAGCGCTTCCACCCAATCAAAATACAGCTACGTCATCAGCCAATCAGAATATAACAACACTGTCGACCAATCAGAATACACCTTTGCCTGTTTTCATAGAAAAATGTCAGTTACGATCACACAGTTTGCCCATAAGGACCAAATCGCGAACATCAGCCAGAAGATGACGAATGTGATTTCGTCGAAAAGTCGCTACTACCTTTTTAAAGATATGTTTACAATTACACGGGAAGAAACCCGAGATATTAACTGCACACACACACACACACACACACACACACACACACACACACACAAACACAGCTAGAGGAAAAACATATATATAATAATACATATTAAATATACAATACCAACGGCAGGTTCTTCCAACGTGGTAGAGAGTACAAGCAAACACAGGCAGAGGAGAGAAGAGTTTCAGTTCAGAGTTGCAGACTAGTTTTTTTGCTTTAGCACAGACTCAGAGCTTTAGTACACTTAAGACACACCCAGGCTCCGAACTGTTTCAGCCCTCATTGGCTGACTTAGTTGCTATGCCTAGACATTGGCTGACCTTGTTACTAAGCCCTATTCCAGTTCACGAATATACGCGGGACAGAAACTGAACAAGGAGAGATTCAACCTGGAAATAAGGGGAAATTTTCTGACAGTGAGCACAATCAACCAACGGAACAGCTCGCTTTCAGAAATTGTGGGAGCTTCATCACTGGAAGCTTTCAAAGAGAGACTGGACTGCCATCTGTCAAAAATGGTGTAGGCTCTGCTGGGCAGGGGATTGGATTAGATGGCCTACAAAGTCTCTTCCAACTCTGTTAATCTGTACTTATTCCTCTCTGTGGCTGTTCCAAAGGTGCTTTTTCAAAAGGCAACTGGACTAATACAGTCCTTGGTTATATAAACAGAGGCACAGAATCAAAATCACGTGATGTATATACTGACACACACACACAAACATATATACACACACACACATGGAATACAGCATTCAGTTTTACAAAAAAGACAACATCTACAAAAAAGATGTTGAGACTTTGGAAAAATGCAAAGAAGAACAACTAAGACGATCAAAGGCCTGGAGACAAAATTCTATGAAGAACGGTTACAGGATTTGGGTTTGGCTAGTCTAGAGAAAAAGAAGGATTGGGGGGGACATGATAGCATGTCAGAGTGCGTACAGTGTGACTACTTGAGACAACCCAGGAGCAATAGCAGTAAACAAGGTTTCTAATATAAACAGTGATTTATCTTTACAAAAGAATATATACACACACGTACTAGGCAAAGGTCAAACAATCAATCAGCAGCTACAGCAGGGAAGAACACATGGAGAGAGAGAAACGCCCTCACAGGGGCCTCTCTTATAATACAGCTTCTTAAAGTGGTAACAGTCAAATAACCCTGCTGACTCATTCCTCATCATTGCATCATTTTTTTTAAAAATTTGATTTATATGCCGCCCTTCTCCGAAGACTCAGGGCGGCTTACAATGTGCTCAGCAATAGCCTTCATCCTTTTGTATATTTATACAAAGTCAGCTTATTGCCCCCACAACTGGGTCCTCAATTTACCTACCTTAGAAAGGATGGAAGGCTGAGTCAACCTTGAGCCTTGGCGAGATTCGAACCCTGCAGTAATTGCAGGCAGCTGGTCTTAATAACCAGCTTAATAACAGGGTGCCTTAAACCACTCTACTACCAAGGCTCTTGGTAGTATTATAGCAGCTGTTCAGCTATTAAATCATTACCTTGACATAGCAATCTTCCAGTATTTGAGAGGCTGACACAAAGAGGAGGGAGTCAATTTATTTTGCAAAGAACCAGAAGGCAGGACAATGGATGCAAACTAACCAAGGAGAGAAGCCACCTGGAATTGAGGAGAAACTTCCTAACAGTGAGGACAATTAACCAGTGGAACAGCTTGCCTTCAGAAGTCGTGGGTGCTCCATCACTGGAGGTCTTTAAGAAGAGACTGAACAGTCACTTGTCTGGAATGGTATAGGATCTCCTGCTCGAATAGGGGGCTGGACTAGAAGACCTCCAAGGTCCCTTCCAGCTCTGTTCTGATTCTGATTTTGTTTATCCTTGAAGGCATTTCACTTCTCATCCAAGAACTGAAGAAGCTTCTTGGATGAGAAATGAAACGTGTCAGAGCTTGTAGAGATCCAGCTAGCAGACAAGCAAATGATTCAGCGAGATTCATTATATAGAAGAAACCTCTTTATATACTGTAGGAAGAAATATCCTTCTGGGTTCAGCTCCAAGTGGGGAAAAAGACACTGGAAACATGGAGACTGCTTGGAAAGATGGTTTAATGGTCACATGGCTTGAGTTCCTGAACAGAAAAGGGGCAAGACGCTGCGAGTCCCCGGGTTTTATGCCCTCTCTGGCTTTGAACTTCCTGGGGCCCAGAAAGAGTATCCTGATTGGTTGTCAGACTCCCAGGGGTTGGGGGTCTTAGCTAGCCTTGTTGGCTGATGTAATCTTCCCAGGTGCCATGTGGTGAGTTTCTGTTGCTAGATGGGTTCTATTGTGTTAGTTTCTGTTGCTAGATGGGTCCTATTGTGTTGCAGATGATGGTCCATTGACAAAGATTGAGTTTCTTCCTCTGGCCCATTGACAAAGGGAGGGGGGCAGGAAGATGGGAGCTGCTTCGTCTTTAAAACATGCTTCTCCATTTCTCATCCAGGGAAACATAATATTCTGCCTTTTTAAAGTATTCTAAAGTATTTCATTCTTCTAGGAAAGGGGTGGGTGCTAACTTCCTACATATACAATAATATAAAACATGATGCATGTATACAATACCCATGCAGCTCCTGCAACATGGTAGAAAGAAACAGCAGCAAGTACTCTCAGACAAAGACCAACAAACTCTCTCACAGCACAGAACAGTTAAGCTAAGCCACGCCCAGGCTCCAAGCAGTCTCACATGGCTCACACAACAAATTCTGTGTCTCAGTCACCAGTTCCCATTGGCTGACTTGTTGCCATGGCTATTCCAGTTCATAAATTCTTATATACTGACCAAACATCTTCAAGGAAAAACGAAGTCCAGGCAGTCCC